TCCTCTATCTATCGTTTTATGAAATAAATAATAGAAATGGGGATAGGTAACATTCCTTTATAACAAATATCAAAATTTTACGTTATTTTTAGAACAAAGGGCTGTTGTATATTGTTGTTGATGTCTGGCAAGTTGCGACCTTGTGTGGGTGTTTGTTTATTTGTAATGCGATTTGTTTGACCGTCTTCCTTATTCTTTATCTTTGCTTATTGCACTTTGCAGATTAAAATACCGTAATTTATAATCCATACCTTGTTGCAAAATAAATTTTTTGGACTTCAATAGTACCATTGATTAAAGCTCTTTATTCAATGATAGTACCTATCACACCTTTCCTTTGATGGACCCCTCTTCCGACTTTCCGTTGAGGCGCAAATGTTCCTTGAAGTTTTGACCGTTTCCTTTGATAGACCGCCACGCCGCCTCACACCTTTCCTTTGATGGACCCCTCTTCCGACTTTCCGTTGAGGCGCAAATGTTCCTTGAAGTTTTGACCGTTTCCTTTGATAGACCGCCTCGCCGCCTCACACCTTTCCTTTGATGGACCCCTCTTCCGACTTTCCGTTGAGGCGCAAATGTTCCTTGAAGTTTTGACCGTTTCCTTTGATAGACCGCCTCGCCGCCTCACACCTTTCCTTTGATGGACCCCTCTTCCGACTTTCCGTTGAGGCGCAAATGTTCCTTGAAGTTTTGACCGTTTCCTTTGATAGACCGCCTCGCCGCCTCACACCTTTCCTTTGATGGACCCCTCTTCCGACCTTCCGTTGAGGCGCAAATGTTCCTTGAAGTTTTGACCGTTCCCTTTGATAGACCGCCTCGCCGCCTCACACCTTTCCTTTGATGGACCCCTCTTCCGACATTCCGTTGAGGCGCAAATGTTCTTTGAAGTTTTGACAGGTCCCTTTGATAGACCGCCTCGCCGCCTCACACCTTTCCTTTGATGGACCCCTCTTCCGACATTCCGTTGAGGCGCAAATGTTCTTTGAAGTTTTGACAGGTCCCTTTGATAGACCGCCTCGCCGCCTCACACCTTTCCTTTGATGGACCCCTCTTCCGACATTCCGTTGAGGCGCAAATGTTCTTTGAAGTTTTGACAGGTCCCTTTGATAGACCGCCTCGCCGCCTCACACCTTTCCTTTGATGGACCCCTCTTCCGACATTCCGTTGAGGCGCAAATGTTCTTTGAAGTTTTGACAGGTCCCTTTGATAGACCGCCTCGCCGCCTCACACCTTTCCTTTGATGGACCCCTCTTCCGACATTCCGTTGAGGCGCAAATGTTCTTTGAAGTTTTGACAGGTCCCTTTGATAGACCGCCTCGCCGCCTCACACCTTTCCTTTGATGGACCCCTCTTCCGACATTCCGTTGAGGCGCAAATGTTCTTTGAAGTTTTGACAGGTCCCTTTGATAGACCGCCTCGCCGCCTCACACCTTTCCTTTGATGGACCCTCTTCCGACATTCCGTTGAGGCGCAAATGTTCTTTGAAGTTTTGACAGGTCCCTTTGATAGACCGCCTCGCCGCCTCACACCTTTCCTTTGAGGGACCCCTCTTCCGACATTCCGTTGAGGCGCAAATGTTCTTTGAAGTTTTGACAGGTCCCTTTGATAGACCGCCTCGCCGCCTCACACCTTTCCTTTGATGGACCCTCTTCCGACATTCCGTTGAGGCGCAAATGTTCTTTGAAGTTTTGACAGGTCCCTTTGATAGACCGCCTCGCCGCCTCACACCTTTCCTTTGATGGACCCCTCTTCCGACATTCCGTTGAGGCGCAAATGTTCTTTGAAGTTTTGACAGGTCCCTTTGATAGACCGCCTCGCCGCCTCACACCTTTCCTTTGATGGACCCCTCTTCCGACATTCCGTTGAGGCGCAAATGTTCTTTGAAGTTTTGACAGGTCCCTTTGATAGACCGCCTCGCCGCCTCACACCTTTCCTTTGATGGACCCCTCTTCCGACATTCCGTTGAGGCGCAAATGTTCTTTGAAGTTTTGACAGGTCCCTTTGATAGACCGCCTCGCCGCCTCACACCTTTCCTTTGATGGACCCCTCTTCCGACATTCCGTTGAGGCGCAAATGTTCTTTGAAGTTTTGACAGGTCCCTTTGATAGACCGCCTCGCCGCCTCACACCTTTCCTTTGATGGACCCCTCTACCGATATTCCTTTGAGGCGCAAATGTTCTTTGAAGTTTTGACAGGTCCCTTTGATAGACCGCCTCGCCGCCTCACACCTTTCCTTTGATGGACCCCTCTTCCGACATTCCGTTGAGGCGCAAATGTTCTTTGAAGTTTTGACAGGTCCCTTTGATAGACCGCCTCGCCGCCTCACACCTTTCCTTTGATGGACCCCTCTTCCGACATTCCGTTGAGGCGCAAATGTTCTTTGAAGTTTTGACCGGTCCCTTTGATAGACCGCCTCGCCGCCTCACACCTTTCCTTTGATGGACCCCTCTTCCGACTTTCCGTTGAGGCGCAAATGTTCCTTGAAGTTTTGACCGTTCCCTTTGATAGACCGCCTCGTCGCCTCACACCTTTCCTTTGATGGACCCCTCTTCCGACTTTCCGTTGAGGCGCAAATGTTCTTTGAAGTTTTGACCGTTCCCTTTGATAGACCGCCTCGCCGCCTCACACCTTTCCTTTGATGGACCCCTCTTCCGACTTTCCGTTGAGGCGCAAATGTTCCTTGAAATTTTGACCGTTTCCTTTGATAGCCCGCCTCGCCGCCTCACACCTTTCCTTTGATGGACCCCTCTTCCGACCTTCCGTTGAGGCGCAAATGTTCCTTGAAATTTTGACCGTTTCCTTTGATAGACCCCCTCGCCGCCTCACACCTTTCCTTTGATGGACCCCTCTTCCGACCTTCCGTTGAGGCGCAAATGTTCCTTGAAGTTTTGACCGTTCCCTTTGATAGACCGCCTCGCCGCCTCACACCTTTCCTTTGATGGACCCCTCTTCCGACTTTCCGTTGAGGCGCAAATGTTCCTTGAAGTTTTGACCTTTCCCTTTGATAGACCGCCTCGCCGCCTCACACCTTTCCTTTGATGGAGGCGCAAATGTTCCTTGAAGTTTTGACCGTTCCCTTTGATAGACCGCCTCGCCGCCTCACACCTTTCCTTTGATGGACCCCTCTTCCGACCTTCCGTTGAGGCGCAAATGTTCCTTGAAGTTTTGACCGTTTCCTTTGATAGACCGCCTCGCCGCCTCACACCTTTCCTTTGATGGACCCCTCTTCCGACTTTCCGTTGAGGCGCAAATGTTCCTTGAAGTTTTGACCGTTTCCTTTGATAGACCGCCTCGCCGCCTCACACCTTTCCTTTGATGGACCCCTCTTCCGACCTTCCGTTGAGGCGCAAATGTTCCTTGAAGTTTTGACCGTTCCCTTTGATAGACCGCCTCGCCGCCTCACACCTTTCCTTTGATGGACCCCTCTTCCGACCTTCCGTTGAGGCGCAAATGTTCCTTGAAGTTTTGACCGTTCCCTTTGATAGACCGCCTCGCCGCCTCACACCTTTCCTTTGATGGACCCCTCTTCCGACCTTCCGTTGAGGCGCAAATGTTCCTTGAAGTTTTGACCGTTTCCTTTGATAGACCGCCTCGCCGCCTCACACCTTTCCTTTGATGGACCCCTCTTCCGACCTTCCGTTGAGGCGCAAATGTTCCTTGAAGTTTTGACCGTTCCCTTTGATAGACCGCCTCGCCGCCTCACACCTTTCCTTTGATGGACCCCTCTTCCGACCTTCCGTTGAGGCGCAAATGTTCCTTGAAGTTTTGACCGTTTCCTTTGATAGACCGCCTCGCCGCCTCACACCTTTCCTTTGATGGACCCCTCTTCCGACCTTCCGTTGAGGCGCAAATGTTCCTTGAAGTTTTGACCGTTTCCTTTGATAGACCGCCTCGCCGCCTCACACCTTTCCTTTGATGGACCCCTCTTCCGACCTTCCGTTGAGGCGCAAATGTTCCTTGAAGTTTTGACCGTTTCCTTTGATAGACCGCCTCGCCGCCTCACACCTTTCCTTTGATGGACCCCTCTTCCGACCTTCCGTTGAGGCGCAAATGTTCCTTGAAGTTTTGACCGTTTCCTTTGATAGACCGCCTCGCCGCCTCACACCTTTCCTTTGACGGACCCCTCTTCCGACATTTCGTAGATTGGGCTACTAGTTCAAAAGTTACAGCCCTTTGATTTTTCTTTCGAAATTGGTTTCTAGTCTATAACTTTTGATTGAGACGTCTAATCGAAAAAGTACGAATTGTTTTGGATTCTATGCATCCAAATTAATAAGAAAAAGTTGTTTAGTTCATATGTAAAATAATTCATATCAAAAGGATAGTACACACACTATTGGGAAAGACCCAGCCAATATATTATAGAAAGACACAGTCGGGTGCGTGCGTGCTATTTGCTCGTATTAAAAATAATTTTCATTTTTTTGGAAGAGCAGAAATGGTATGTACATATGTTTCATTCCATTACTGAATCTCGCCCTTTGTACACACTTCTATGTAATGTAACCTATAGGTACTATTAAAGACATTTATTATTATTATTATTATTATTATTATTATTTTACGTAACGTTTTAAGGTATTACCAGTGCGTAGCAGGGTGATTTGTGCCCTTAACTGTCAGTATACATCGTTCAAATACTATTGTCAACTTGTCCCTCATTTTTCCCTCTTACCACCTTTCCCTATACCTACTTTGAAGGAGATCCAGGCATTGACAAAAGGGTAAGTTGATAATTATTTTATTTTATTGCTTTGATGGTAATTTCAAAACTACAGTCCATTATTATTTAGAAACAAAAGTTTTTTCCCGAGAAATTTTGGTGCAGTCGATTTTTGGTAAAAAAGGAAGGTATACACTGCGATTTTTTTTTGCCCAGAAAAAAAATTATCTCAGATCGACCGGAAAAAATATTTTCTGTAGAATCCATAATTTCAAAAAATCTATTCGAGAAAGTTCCATTCGATTATTGGTTTTAAAGTATTTGATTTTTGATATGCCCTGTATGCGAAATTGTAAATCTGACATCCTTGTGAATTGTAAATTTTGAGGTTATGTCGTTGCGTTTTAATTAAAATATGCCACCTTCAATATTTCACAGATTAATATTAACAGCAGGATTCCTGTCCTTATTTCATGCCGCGTATTCGGCAGCTCAACGTATGTATTAAGTTGTTAAATTTTCAATTTGTCAGAATTGTTTCAGACCGATCCTACCTGCGACTCAACGAGCTGGAGTTCACCAGTCTTCCTCTTGATGTAAGTTCCACTTTTTGAAACGGCTCATTAAACTGAAAGTGTCGTAGATCTTAATCCAGGGAGTGACCAGTTTGTTCGTAGTAATGTACGGGGTGTTGTACATTGCGGGCGATTTCAAGGAAATTAAAGCTTCTGCGGAGTTGGAAAACAAGACCTGGGAGACATACAGGAACATTCCTTCGTTTTATACGTTTAATCATAGGGGGAAAGCCTTCTCGCCTCAGTACGTGCAGATGAATTCGAAATTACAAATAGAAGAAATTGAATAATTATTTATTATGATGAGTAACATTTATTTCTAGTCTTTGTGCAAGTTTAATGTACACACACACAACAAGTTTAAATAAATAAGATCACACTCCGTTCTTTTAAATAAATACAATTTAAATGCCTATCAATATAACTTCTTTAGTTGTTCGTAAGTTATAAAAAATATGATATTCCACGGGCCCATGCGGAACCACGCCGGAATAAAACCTTTGTAAAATGCCCAGAAACCTTCGTTCCTAAACGTTTGGATGAAACAATCGACCGTTCCCTTGTAAATGTGAGTCTTGGAGATCTCTCGGTCGACCTTCAGATTCCGCTGGTTCATCAATCGTGTCTGCAAATAATGAAGAGGAATTATGGAACAACTATAAATCGTTAACCCCTACCCTAACTACGTCGATCGGAGTCGAAGCCACCGCGCTACCTAAACTAGCGACAAAGCTGGAGCTAAAAGCGTTCAGTTAGAAATGGAAAACACCACATTTATCCACTTACATGAAGTGATTTCCGACTTGATCTCCAAATGCGCTCATCAAATGACTTTTGCAAAAATCGTAAACGGGCAGTTCAACTGCGGCAATTACGGCCGCCCTTTGTGCCGTAGGATTCACACCCTAAAATACACGGCGCTATTAGAGTACTCGAGTACACCTAACCTACAACCTTCCACAAACCAGAAATCCCTTCTTGAGCGTACACGTCTTTGAAACAACCGACCAGGCTCACGTTACCGTGGGAGCCACGGATTTGCATTCGAACTTTTAGAACGTCGGTCGGATTCGCAATTGCGCTTGAAACCGCACCCGCCGTTACCGCACAGGCAACATTCAACGCGACACTCTCGTTTCCGTACTGGCGAATTACCAACTTCTTCAAGGAATAGTACGTCCCGAACTTAATGGTACCGTAGGTCGCCTGTCGTAGCACCGCCGGCCAAATACTAAAAAAGAGAAACTCGAGCGAACCGCCAGAGACACTTCCAAGACTGACCCCGCGTATAACGCACCGAACCCTTCCTGCCGCCAAATCTTCAGCAAACAATCTATCATGCCACGATACTTCAGTTCGGCATGCTGCGCGTCTAATATCTGACCTTGCACTTGCAATCTCGTTTTCGTAGTGTCTATGGGAAACGTTCCTAACGAAGAGAAACTCATAAATTCCGGGACTCGCAAAGACAACACGTACCAAACTCCGCAACACAAGAAGCAAGTCCTCCGTAAACGAATGGTCTCCAGTTTTGATCTCCCATTCCCTTGCGACGGTCTTAATCGAAAAGGAGAGCTACTCGGTTTACATTATCGGACAGATGCATTGAAAGTTGAACTGTGGACAAAAATCAAAAGAGTGAAAATAATATCAACCGCGGTACGTACAAACTGAAAAGTTTACCAGTAAAAGGTACTTTTGAGTGGAAAATCACAAGAAATATCACAGTTAAAAAACCACGGTTGCGGCTTACAGGTTAAGGCAGCAACGAGTGATTGGTTGCATAAGCATCGGGGGTGAGTTTCATGTTGGAGGTAAAACTAAACGCGACTCCTATCAAAGGCGCACGCGTTAATTGTTGCTATTTGAAATTTGAAACGATACACATGTCTAAAACTACATAAATAAACAATTTATGATTTTATGTACACCAAAATAATACGTTTTTTATTGTTTTCTTCTCAATATTTTCACTGAGAAATTCTGTGGCACCGACCTACCAATTTCGTTTGAAGCAAACTGGTTGCGTGATTTGAAATTTCTTTGTCTTTTTCCTTTGTTTTTGAGGCATCTGTGACGATGGATATATCAGGGTTGGAATGCACAGAGGATCCGCTCTGTCTTTCAAGCTGCCTATTGCCTCATTTAAAATTCCTATGACGTACTTCGCTTTTCCTTTTGTTCAATTGTTCCTTGGTTCGCAGTTTCCTGATGCTCTCAAGGAAGAAGGTGCTCTGGTGGTTGCAAGTGTGGTTCCAGGTCCTCAAACAAAACAATTTCTGCCTTACAAAGCATTACGGCAGTGTACAGACGTACAGGGCCGTAACTAGATATGACCACGCCCTTGGCAGCACTTCAAGTTTGGCCCCCCCCCCCCTATACCTGCGCGTGTGGGTATGAAATATCCCCCAACAAAAACCTCCGAAAATTTTCTCAAGTTCAAGGTTTTTGATCCGAGAATTTTGCTTCTTTAAAACATGGCGAAAAGATTACAAAATACATTGTGTCCAAGATAAGAATGAACATCATGGACACATCGGAAACCATATTATTAAAATATCATTTGACTTGCTTGTCCTTCTTAAATTGGACACACTGTATACAGTACAACCTCGTTAATCCGAATACATTCGGACAACCGACTTTTCGTATTATCAAATTTTCGGATTATCGCGAAACTAGTGAAAATAATAAATTTGGACACAAGCATTAAGAAATAAACTTTATTCTTTTCAACGTCTTCAGGGGTGTCATCGTTGTTACGAAAAACGGAATATTGCGGACTATCGCGATTTCGGACTAGCGTGTATTCGGATTATCGGGGTTGTACTGTATATTACATTGCCATAAGGAGGCAAAAGGGGAGAAGGGCAGAGATGAAGGGAATATCACTTTGTAACGACCCAGCTATTCACAGTCACAGTACGTACAGTATTAACAATCTGGAATAACATTTGTTTAAATAAACTGATTTTTTTTCCTAATAGGTACACTAATGTTAAAAGAAATTTTTTCATGACCAATTTTGCGCCTCCCCGGTAGCTGCGCCCTTGGCGGGCGCCCACTTCGCCACCGCCTAGATACGGCCCTGCAGAGAACAGCGTTTGGGGATGGACCCGTCTTCTAGATCGCGCGGCGAAATTTAGCCGAATGGAATCACGCTTAGATTTAGGTGCTAGAGTTGTTTTTAAATTGAAATTGAAACAATTGAATTAATATTCAAGGTTTTTAAGTCTATTTTTGTAATATACCAGCACCTGTTTCAGAATCCTAAAACTGAGACTACATGTGCAGGTATTTATAGAAATTCCACTACGCATCTTCTAGTGTTAAATTTTAAAAAAAGGCCAAAATCGCTTATGATTATAGACAAAATCATCAATCAACAGTTTAATGTGACGGGGTCGGGGGGTGCGTATATGATATCAGAGATTCAAATAAACATATACCTATTATCGGAAAATTTTGGTGTTATGCAAGTAGCGGTGTAATATACAACTGTTCGTTAGGCAACCAATATGCCACCTTAACGAAGAGCGCGCTTGCCTGTTAGTGTTCCCCTCTCGCTCACCTGTAGTATCACGCTTCGAAAAGAAGAAGTTTCAGTTTTTAGCAACGTCGCGCTGCCTTACTGTGGTAGTTCTAATAGATCGCTGTAGATCAACCGTCCCACTTTTACGCTTTCACCTTCCCAAATATGGCGGCAGATTAAATTGTCACTTTCATCTGAAAAATAGTCAAATTCCAAGATTTTTTATGTATCTATTCAAGTATTCTCCCTCCATTCAAGTTAAAGTGACTAAATTTTGTATCCGAATGTATATGGTAGGTTAAAAAAATTACTCTTAAAATGCCCAAAAAAGAGTTCATGGGTTTCAAACCCATAATCATACAGCGCAATCTGCGTAAGAAGCCCCAAAAATTGCGAAAAAGGAAAGGTAGGAGGCATGTCACATTGAATTAAAAAAATTAATCAGTAGATGAGGAGTTTTCGTACTAATACCGTTTAACACGACCCCCCGTGCTTGCCGCACCACGGGCATGCCTGCCTTCAGCTTTCTAACCCTGTAGCTTTACCCGAACGGGATACGACACCGACCGGTTAACGATTTTCGTATTTTTCAGTAATAAAAATGTTAGCGGTTATGGAGGCCCAACAGATCGCCGGACCGAGCAGTGGTACCGACACGTCCGGTACCGCGCCCGATTGCCCGCCCCCGCACGCCCAGGAGTTTCTCTCGTCGGGGCGCACCGGCCGACGTAACGCCTTGCCGGACATTTTGGGCGAGCACGCTCTGGTCACCAGTTCCGAATTGCCGGGCCGCTTGCAGTCGTTGTCGACCTCGGAGCCGGGTCAAGGTACTTCGAAAAGCGAGGCTAGTACCTCCTCGAGTACGTACACTGTACCGTAATGTATTTTTATTTCGTGATCTTCTACTATGTACAAAAAATATGGCAGGATAGTTCGTATGTCGTCAATTGCTACTTTTGTATTTAACACAAATAATTCGTACAATGTGATCGGGAGATCTGTATTTATTTACAAATTGTGCCACAATTTTGTATTATTTTCTCAGCACAAGTTACGGGGAGTAATCGGTTAATGTGTCGATGTGTGTCGATCTTAGTAATTGTTTGCTATAGCTTTTACACTGTAGGCCTCTTTTTTTGCTTCTAGGCAACGATATTTGTGATATTTATTTGTTGTACAGTTCAGTATTAAGTGTTTTTGTTGTCTCGTTAGTATTTCTTTAAAATAAAAATCAAAATGCGCTGCTCAAACTGTACATGTCGTTAGTAAAAGAAAGCAGCTGAAATGCACTAGTCAATTTAATTATGAAACGACCACTTTGGAATTATAAATATATTTATATAGAAACCACAATAAATTGTACTACCTAAAGTTGTGCGTTAATCAGCCTCCGTAAGTTGTTCTCGGCCGTCGTCATTCTCGGATCGATCTGCAGGGATTTGCGATACATTTCGATCGCTCGCTGCGGTCGCCGCCACCGATGGTACAGCACGCCCAAGTTGGAATAGTACAGCGCGCTGTGGGGATTCAAGTTGATCGCCTCGAGAAAGTGCTTCTCCGCCTTTTCGAACTGCTGAACTTTTCCCAGCGTGTTCGCGATGCTGAAGTGTAGGGCGGCGGACGTCGGATTATGCATGAGCGCGATCCGGCCCAACTCCAGCACCTCCTTGTACCTGCCCAGGCTGTCGAGCAGAACGAGCATGTTGCTCCACGCGGCGGTGTGCGTCGAACGAAATAAGACCGCCTTCTCCCAAGCGGTGAGGGCGTCCTCGTTGCGTTTCGCGTCTAAATACTGCAACACGGGGTGTCAATACATTAGGAAACTGTACAGGGTGATCCAATAAGACTGTTCCTCGGCCATATCCCGAAAACCATTCCGTCATATGACTTGGGGGTAAAAAAATTATTGGGTAAATTGGTCATGAAGAATTGCCGGAAAATATTTCTAAAAATGACCAACAGAGGGCGTAACTGCCACCTTAAATTTTAAAATTGCGTTTTCTTTAAATTTCGCATAATAAACTAAACAGAGAACCAGTTTATCCATCATTTTCGTAAAAACAAAAACTCGGTTATTGCAAAAACAAAGATGGCGTTGGGCGTTCATAAAAAGTATTTACGGGGGGGATGAAGGGGATATATCTCCCCCCCCCCCCAGAAGAATTGAGTTATCATCATAGCTATTAGGTATTTAGGTAATACTCCGCTATCCGCTCCACCCACTTTAAAATAAAGGCAATAATATATATAGGTATATATAGAGAGCAATTTTGGTTTTGGTTAAAGTCTAAAGAGGTGAGGTACCTGCGTCCTGCCTTTCACGAAATGACGAAAATGAGAATTTTAAATTTTAAAAACAGGAATTTTTTTGCCCATAACTTTTGATTGAGATGTCTAATCGAAAAAGTACGAATCGTTTTGGATTCTACGCACCCAAATTAATAAGAAAAAGTTTTTTCCTGAGAAATTTTGGTGCAGTCGATTTTTGGGAAAAAAGGAAGGTTATACACTGCGTTTTTTTTGCCCAGAAAAAAAAATTGTCTCAGATCGACCGAAAAAAATATTTTCTTATAGAATGTGGCCTGTAGAATCCATAATTTCAAACAGTTCTAAGATCACTAAATATAGAAAGTACCAATGAAATTCTTTATTCATTGGAAAGTACCGCAATCCATTGGGCTCGCGTGTTGGAGAGAGAACGCATGATTTTTGCCCAAAAATGGCGGAAGTTACCAGATTCTAGTAACTTTAATATGACAGTACTATGAATTTAAGTTATAAAAAATGACACCTATTCAGATTTTCTTTGTCAATTTTTTAAGTTGGCAACAAATTTGCCCAAAAATGGCGGATGATTGCGGTACATTGTTGCGGTACTTTCTATATCTAGTGACTTTAACTTGGTCATGAATCATACGCCCTCTAGCGGCAAACCTAGAAACTTGAAAATAATTTCCAACGATTTCTGTTGCAAAATTATCTAAGACGTAGACATTCGATCAAATTTTGAAATGGCCAAAAAAACGGTGAGCCACTCGACCTAGGAATTACATTTTTCTATTATTTTAAAAGGGATCAAGACTCATGAAAATTTTCTCAAAAATCATCTTACTAGAGACCTTACCAGAAACGTTTCTATAAGGAACAGGAAGGATTCTCCTAGAAATCTTCTTGAAAAAGTAGAATTGGAAATATTTTTGTAAATATTCCTAGGAATTTTGAAAAAGTATCATACTTTTTAGGAATCATCTACGAAATCCTTGAAGATTCCATGAAAATGGTATTGAAAAACCTTTTAGGAAGAAATTAGTTACTATCTTGCGAAACATTAGCTAGAAATTTTGAAAAATTTTTGCACACCTGTAGACATTATTTTTAAAAACGTCTTAAGAATCATAGTGGCCTTTGAAAAACATTAGAATTAAGAGCTTTTTTGAAAAAACATTTGATAACTTTACAAAAATCTTTTTTTCTAATCCTTTAGCATAAATTAAGAATTTGTGTACTAAATCTAGAATACTTTTCTACATATTCAGAGCTGGATTTACCCCCTTCAGTGCTCTGAGACGCAAACCATCACCTAAAAACATTTTTTGAATTTTACATGTTATTGCAACAGAAAACCCAAATTTATAAAAATGCAAAATCTGGAAAAGTTAATCTTATTCCTCTACCAAATTTTTCTAATTCCATTTCCTCAAAAGGACAGACAGACCGCTCTAGGTTTACTCACCAAATTACCCAAATTGTAGTAGCAATCGGGATATTTATTCCTAAAAGAAATTGCGGTCAAATAACATTGTTCCGCCTCCTCCGACCGATTTAAATTCGTCAAAACGATACCCAAGTTCATCCACGCCGCTGCAAAATTCGGTCGAATTTCCAACGCTCTCCTTAACAAAATTTCGGCGTCCGTAAACTTTCGTTCGTCCCGTAATAGATTCGCCAAATTATTCATTGCCTGCTCGTACAGCGGATTCAGCTCGATCGCCCTTCGATACTCCTCAATGGCGAACTGTCTTCTGTTGTTGTCGGCGGCAACCTTACCGATATTGTAGTGCACTTTCGCGTTTAACGGGCAAACTTTTAGGGCGGAACCGAAGAGCCGCTCTTCGGTTAGCCAGTCGATATTTCTTTGTACGGTACGTAGTGCGAATATCGCGCAAATCGCGTACAGAGTTACGCTCGACACCTAAACAATGTGGTTTAGTGATTTAAAGCGATTGGTACTTATACCTCCGCACGTAAATGGAGCATCTTGGAGAGTTTTTTTAGACCGTGCACGACGAGGAAGGAAAACCCCAAACTTGGGAGGAGTAGGATTCGTTCGGCGACTACAAATCCGACTTTGAGAAATAAATTTGAGGCGGGTAGAAACGGAAAGAACACAAAAGATAGCGCAACGACGACCGATGGGTTACACCTAAAACATGCAATAAGTTAAACTATTCTGTCACCGGCAAACTTAACTTCCTTCCGGACAGCTGTCGGTAGGCGACGAACGACAGTGCGAGTAAAACCATCCAAAACAGAATGACGGCCACGTTTCTAAAGTCGGCGAAATGTTCGAGGAGAGGAATGCAGCCCATTGACCAATCGAAGCATAACCATTCGGGCCAAAGTAGCAGTACAATATTTATGAAATAGACATAGTTGTAAGTTAAGATCTGAAAGCAGATTAAATTGGCAATCTGGCAACGTGGGGTTAATCCCCTCGACCGAAACTCACTCTACTAACGGTGTCATTTGAGAAAGCGGCCGGATTATCGGCAACTGTAAAATTGGGCCCTTCGAAGTTCATTAGTCTAAGTCTAAGGTATAAAATCACTGCACCGCTAAATACTAGGAACAGACCCCGCGGTATCATACTCTTTAAATTGGAATGCGTCCAATCGTAGACAAGCAAGATGCACTGCAATGAGCAAGGTTATTTTCAAGCAAGGGGGAAGAGAGGCAACGTACCAGGGATGTGATTGCAGTCTCTTTACAAAGTGTTCCTGCACTTACTAGAACTACGACGAGTAGTAAATTCGGCCAGGAGTTGGTGTTGATTACTTTGTCGTACAACAGAAATGACAATAAAACTAAGTTGGCTGCAAATAAATCTGCACGTCCTACAATGCTAGCCACGACCTCTGTGTGTACGGGGTGTACCGTAAATAGTAGACACGACAAAAAAGGTGTACTTTCCACATTCCCCGTAAACAACTGCAACACTGACATACACATTAAACAAAGTGTTACGTAGAGGAAGATGTTTACGGCGTGGAAATGAAGAGCATTTAACTCTGAGCTTATTAACACATTCAACCTAAAAAATGATAAATTAACGCAGCAGTCTCACACGCGATCGATCCAACCTGTAACTTAAAGTAGCTAGTGGACGGTACGATTTATGACTCAGATTGGATGTAATGTCAGTGCCCCAAAAATCATTCTTAAAAACATTAGACACGGGTGTACCCAGTGTAACATCCTTATTTTTAACAACAGCCTCGGTATCGTCGAAAACAAACGTTCCAAACAACGTATTCAAATAGCAGCACAAAGCCACCGTTCCTATTATGCAGTATTGGCAAACCCTTTCTGCAACGAAGGATCTTTAAGAGGGTGATACCCTTAACGTATAAGTACCATTTTTCACCAATTTCATTTGAATTTGCACTAAGCAACTCTTATAACCTAAAAATTAAACCGACGCAATGTCAGTTGTGTAGGAAAATTGCTCCGCTGTATGAGTAATGGTTTGTTTACAAATACGCCACTAACCTAAAATGGAAACTTTACCGGAAAATATCTACAAAAAAATACACGATTGTAAAGAACACCTCAGTAAAATAAAGACTAATTGGCAATTTTAGCAAAACTGAAATCAACATCGATTTTACTACACTCCGACATTTACCTCGAACAAGCCTTGGATTTGAGCCCCGAGGAAGTTACACGGCTTCGCCGTTCGATGCTCCGCCGCGAATTTATCTCCGGTACCGCTCCGTCGTTGATCCGTAGTTAATAACTGCACTTTCAGCCCGTGACATACCGGCGTGGCCTCGTCTAACGACCGGTTGCCCGAGCATCGATTCGGTTACATCGGGCGGAATTCCGATTAACGGCCTCACGGAAATCGCGGGTCCTAGCGGGGTCGGCAAGACGCAGCTGTGCCTACAGCTCGCAATAACGGTACAGCTACCAGCCGGTTTGGGGAAGGGTGCGATTTATATTTGCACGGAGGACTTGTTTCCGTCGAAACGTCTCCACCAACTCGCCGCGTGTTTTTCCGATCATAAAGTTATGGACAACGTGTTCGTGGAACATATATCCGATTATGTAAGTATTTCTCTTTGTAACGGCAAGTAAATTGTCGACTGCTAGGAGCAACTGAGAAGGTGTTGTCAAATTCGGATACCCATGCTACTGTTGAAGCGTCCAATCGGTCTCGTAGTGATCGATTCTATTGCCGGTGTGTTTCGTAGTGATAGTGCAACTGTTGATTATTCGCAGCGAAGCCGCGAGTTTAGCACAATTGTGACCTCTTTGAATAAATTATGTCTACAGTACGGGATAGCGGTCGTTGTTACGAATCAGGTATAATCGTTGGGCTTATTGCAAAGTAATAATCCATTTTCAGGTTGGAGATAACAGCATGAAAGGAAGGAGTGAACCGTGTCTGGGGCTTGCGTGGAGTAATCTTGTTACATGTCGTTTTTGGATTAGCAGAGAATTGGAGGGTGTGCGTAATTTTGAAGTTGTTTTTGCGCCGGATTTGCCGAACAAGACCGCTCAATTTGTTATTATATCCAGTGGAGTTAAAGATGCGGGTTGATTGTTAATTTTAAAGTTTAATAAAGCTGAAATACAGAAAAATAATTTTTAGTTCGAGCAACTTTAAGAAAATACACTGGCGGATAGGCAACACATAATACTCCACTGCAGTGTATGAGAAATGTCCTCCAATCGCATTCGCCATCTATAACTTCCATTTATCATACCCAGAATGAAGGGTAGATCTAAGCCAAGGGGTGAACAATGTCTAGGTTAATTTGAAATACTTCTATAGGGAGCTACGTGTTCTGCAAAATGCCCATTTGATAACTTTTTATTATAAACACCCGCTGCAACCAGTATAGTATGCAGATTGAAGGTGTTTTTCTGGAAAAATCATCAAATAGATGTTAACATAATTATAAACATATTCAGAATCGAGAGATATTTAGGTTTACCTTGATATGGAGTAGGCTATGACCTGTTTAAACAAAACAAAAACAATTGCATGTTTCAATCCTACCCTAGAACAGGCATAAACTCTTTGCAACTACCTATATAAACACATCGTACATCTGGTAAACAAGGAATTTAAATTGCACCACAACATTTACCTTACCCATTTGAACTGTGATAAATATTCTTTTTAAATTACCTTTTATTCAATTTTTTCGATTTTCTAGATCACCTCTTTTTTCATATTTATAAATACATTTAACATATAACGACCCCCCACCCCCTCCCGCCGAATTACTAACCATCATAAAAAATATACAAAAATAGATCTCTTTAAATGCATAACTGTACCCTCAACTTTTTAAGCATCGTACGTCGAAGCGGACACATTTCCCCCATGGCCGGTCCAATTTGTATGCATGAACTTGCCCTCTTTGCCGAGTAATTCGTAAGTATGCGCTCCGAAATAATCGCGTTGCGCTTGAAGGAGATTGGCGGGAAGCCGTTTAGATCTGTACCCGTCGTAGAATGCCAAGGCGGTCGATAAAGCCGGCGTGGGAACTCCTAAAGAATAAAAATTTACTTTACAGTCCAATCCAGAGCTACCAACTGTGCTATGGCTATGGTTAATTTTTGTAAGAAGTATTTTAACTGTTTGAGGAATTTTTTCTCTCCAACAATAAATGGGATTGGTTATTTTTATGATCACAAATCCCCAAGGATTTCCTGTCTACAAAGAAATCCATAGGAAATTGCAAGCGATTCCCACAAAATTATCTCTGACACCATGCCCATTATGTATGGAATTTAGTATATATCTCAGTAAATATCGAATGTATACAAAATTTTTCTATATGATGAAAGCTAATAAGGCAGCATTCACCTGTTTTTATTTCAGAAAACAAATGAGTAACGCAAAACAATTGAATTCTTTTAATGGCAGTGCACCTTTTCATTAGGCTCATTCGATAGATTTTTTTCTCTTTTCGATGATATAACAAAAATTTATTATAATTAGATCAATAACAATTAATCCAGATATCCTACATCAAAATAAAACAAATGAACGTGTACGTTTCTTATTAAACCTTGAAGACAAAACGAAATTAGCAGCAAACAGGTTTTTATCGAAATGAATGTGCACCATTAACTGCAAGGCAGTGACATAACCCATCACAAAAAGCTTAAAATCAAAATCAATTTCTTCTACACGGGTGCTAACGTGTTACGTCAGTAAAAAGAGAAAAAAATCTCTATCAAATGAGCCTAATGAAAGTAGGCATTGCTATTTAGAAAAATTCAATTGTTTTTCGTTATTCATTTGTTTTCTGAAATAAATTATTATGGGAAATAAAATGTTAGACAACTTTCATACATAATGGACACCCTGTATATGTGTCTCCAACTTACCTAATTCAACAGCTGTAACAATGACATTTCGCCATCCACTTTGGGAATTTTTGATAGCATTCGAGAAGAAAGGTGCCAAAAGTAAAGAGCTTAGGTTAGGATCGCTATCGAACGCCTTCTTAATCTGTCCAAGAAAAACGGACCGAATAATACATCCACCTCTCCACATTAAAGCTATCGATCCGTAGTCCAAACTCCAATTGTACGCTTTGGCGGCCTCACGAAGTAACATGAATCCTTGCGTGTAGGAAACGATTTTACTGGCGTACAACGCTCGCTTTAAATCCGCCACGAACTGAGATTTGTCTCCTTTGAAGCACTTCTCGGGCCCTGAAAGATGCCGACTGGCAACTTGGCGTTCGTCGATAAGCGCGGATAAACACCGGCTGAATACGGCTTCACCAATTAGTGTAACTGGTACGCCGAAATTGAGAGCAGATATAGCTGTCCATTTACCGGTTCCCTTTTGACCTGCTGCATCCCGGATTTTGGGTAGGAGAAATTTGCCTAAAGGGAAACGCTTAGAAGCAGTTGCGCGAGTAAAATACGTACCGTCGGAATCCTTATATCGGAAAATGTCACGCGTAATTTCAATAAGAAAACTGTCCAATTCTCCCTTGTTCCATTCGTCGAAGATATCGCCCATTTCTTCCTGCGTTAGGCCGACGGCGCACATGAGATGGTAAATTTCGCAAATTAGTTGCATATCGCCGTATTCGATACCGTTATGAACCATTTTCACGTAATGCCCGGCTCCGTCCTCCCCAACCCAATCGCAGCAAGGTTGCCCGTCTGTTTTGGCGGAGATCGATTGAAAGATCGGCTTAATGTGCGGCCAGGCTTCTTTATCGCCACCCGGCATTATGCTCGGACCGTACCTCGCACCGTCCTCGCCACCCGAAACCCCGGAACCGACGTACCTTATACCGCGTTCCTTGAGCTGCTTGCAACGGCGCTGAGTGTCGGTGTACTCCGAGTTACCGCCGTCGATAATTATATCCCCTTTTTCGAGATGAGGCGTTAATTGAGCGATAAAGTCGTCCACCGCGGTGCCCGCCTTCACCAGCAGCATGACACGTCTCGGCGATTTCAATTTGGAGCAAAGGTCCGATATCGACTCGGCGCCGACTATCGATTTACCCTTGGCTTCGTTGTTTAAAAATTGGTGGACTTTTTGGACGGTTCGATTGTACGCCACCACCGTGAAACCGTGATCAGCCATGTTGAGGATTAGGTTTTGACCCATTACGGCCAAGCCGATCAGACCAATATCGCCGGATCTAATAAAAAAAAAAAGAAGGTAAACTCATTGGCCAGATCACTTGATCAATTGTAAACCGGCATCAGGTGTTCTGTGATTATCTTCTGGCGAGCATATTTACAATTAAATGGATTAGAATTTGAATAGATACCTCTTCACATCCTACAGTAAAAAGTTCTGAACAGACAGACAGAAAATAGGACTTCATGAAGCCGCTTTGCCTAAAGTAATAGAAATGAAATTAAAGGGAGTAATGCTCTCTGCCTAAAAGACTGTTAAAATCAAATTTCAAAAATTGGAATCAATACACAGCCATACAGGAAAGAAATTGGAAAAAATAAGAATGATTTGCAAAAACAAAACACAGGTCACAGCCTACTTTATTAATTTACGCGAATTAAAGAAGGTGCACACTCACCTTTGCGCCATTATTCAAGTTAACTCAAAGACGAATTTTGGTAAAGTGCGGTGCAGGATACAGCGGTCAAGGAATTCCCGAAAAGTGTAATCTGCTTATTATAATAAAAGTCACATTGAAGTTAAGTTAGAAGGTCATTTCGTTGATAACTACTCGAGCCGGTTGTAGTATCTATGTATTCAGAACCATAAAGCGCTTAATTATACACACAAAAATGATAAAAGTAATCGGATCTGATTTGCAGTGGCGTGATCACAATCGCCATTGGCACATTTATATACAGCGTGTTCTAATTTTAACAACTCACATGACATTTGTACAACGGTAATTAATAGCTATTTTTTAATAGGTATAAGTGTCATAACTCATAAGGCTCTTTATACGGGCGAGAAAGTTTAATTTGAAAGATTTTGGCTTTTTAAGTTAATAAACATAAAGCACCAATAATAACACACAAGCAGGAGGCTTTTACCATTTCGAAATTTGGAAAAGAAAGGGCCTGAGATGGGAGGTTAATACGATATAGTAGGTACATATTTCATAGTTATTACTATCGTATTTCTTCTAAGGCAAGGCAATCCTACACAGAGTCAAATACAAGATTTGATCCAAAACCGCTCGAGCAAGATTAACACTATGAGATCAGAAATGGGTTGCTGTCAAGTCACCTTTGGAATTGTCCAAAGGCGACTTGACAGCAACTCGTTTTTGATCACCCGTTATTAAAACCTTTTCCAAAATGGAAAATATTTTTGGAAAAGGTGATGGCAGAACAAATAAGATGCCTTACCTGGTTTGCAGTCTAGTTTCAGACCCAATCACAGTCGTACTACAGCTTTTACATGTATCTGACGCCATTATGGCTGCTGTTGACAGGAACAATCTTATCATGCTTGTGCTACCGGATTACTCCAGGACTTCTCTTGGGAGTAGTCTGTTCTGTCTTAAAACCATGTTGTTTTATTTACATTTTAACAGTTTCTTCCCTTTGTTAGATCTTCTCGCCGCTTCACACCTTTCCTTTGATGGAATCCTCTTCCGTAATTTCGTTAAGCCGCAAATGTTCTTTGAAGTTTTGACCGTTCCAAGATTGGGCTACTAGATCAAAAGTTACAGCCCTTTGAATTTTTTATCGAAATTGGTTTTTTGCCCATAACTTTTGATTGAGACGTCTAATCGAAAAAGGACGAATCGTTTTGGATTCTACGACCCAAAATTAGTAAGAAAAAGTGTTTTCCCGAGAAATTTTGGTGTAGTCGATTTTGGGTAAAAAAGGAAGGTTGTACACTGCCTTTTTTTTGGCCCCAAGAAAAAATTGTTTCAGTTCGTCCTGGGAAAACGTTTTTCTTATAGAATGGGCCCTGTAGAATCCATAATTTCAAAGAGTTCCAAGATTGGGCTACTGGATCAAAAAAAAAAAAAGTTGCTATTCAACGTGGCAATGCGGCAAGTATAATGGGGACGCTTCCAACTGCGATCCCCATGGAAGAAATTTATTATTTGTTATGAATATTTAAAAATTTTTAACTTTGTAATTAATAAATTAGATCCAATAATAAATAAACGAAACGAACGTCAGGATAAAGTTACAGCCCTTTGAATTTTCTAAACCATCCTTTATACCGTGCATTTGTTTTATTTAACTGGAAAAACGAAGTTTCATTCAATTATTAACGGCAATACGTAATTTCCAAACCTTTTAAAAACCAGAATCTTTGTAGAAGTATCAAAGTTTCATTTTGCCCAAGACCCAAATTCCCCCCCAAACAAAATAACAATTGAGATTCTGTTGCCTGAAAAACAATTGCATTAAGTTACAGTATAATTTATTATTAAAAATTTTACATTATTCTAAAACTTATCGACTAAATGCAGAATATGCTGTTGTTCGTTATCTCGCCATTCTTGATCCCCTTCGTCTCCTAAATTGCCCGCGTATTCACGCATGACGTGTCTTATGGTCTTCAATGAAGCGCCCCTCAAGTTCAAAATCTGAGTGACTCTTTGTTTAATGGAAGCTGGCCCGGCGGCACACACCTCCACAATTATATAATCCACAAGTTGCAACGTAAATAACCCGCCCTCCAGACGTTTCAAGTACAAGGCGTCCTCCTCGACGTTACCGCCACTTTCGTCTAACGCCGTGTCCAAAGTCTCGACCTTTTCCAAGTACTTGAAGTGCAACTCCATCAAACGATCGACCTTCTCGTGATCGTTTTCGGTAAACTTACTCACAAGACGTTGCCGCTGGGAACCGCGACAATTACGCAACATCGACGCTATAATCGACGTGACGTGCTCCTCGTGCTCTTCCGTCGAGAAGACTTTTCTTCGATTTTTCTTCGGCGTCTTCATGAACAGCGGGAAAATGGTACGAAGACCCAAAATGTCGACGAACTTGTTGCAATTGTCCTTGCCGTGCGGGCCCGACATCGCGTAATCTAAGACCTTCAAAGATCCGTTCCTCGACGTTTTTTTCTCGCGCAGCATCAGATTCATCAGCTGCAAACCTTCGCCGCGCAGGAAACGGTCACGATTCTGCAACACCATCAGTGCGCTGCAGAGCGAGTTGAAGAGATTTTCCATCAGCTCGTGTTCTTCGGCCGTCGCCGGATCGTGTCGTTTATAAAAGGCGAGCTGTTGAAGTAACGTGTCGATCCCTTCGAGTTCGCCTAAAGCGATTCGGTTTCCGTTGTTGTCTTGTAAAAGTATCGAGAGAAGCTCGGTCGCGTACAGCTTATTAGAATCAAAGGGGGTTTTCATTTTTAACCGGCGCAGAAGCCACTGCAATAGTCCTTGTTTCGGTGCTTCGTTGCAAACTTCAGGCCGCAGCTCTGTAAGATTCTCGATAATCGACAAAGTGTTGTGTACTCCGTCGCTTTCTTCTTTCACAGTTTCGTCTAAACGATCCAGATTTTGTACGAGTAGAGCGATAATTTGTTGTTCTAATAGAGAATCTATTAACGCCTCGGCTCCCTCCTCGGATTCATTTAAGATATCCACATCGGTCAGCTCTTGTAGTAACTCGATGGCTGCAACCTGTAACCGTAAATCTATTAACGAGTGTCCTACGTACGAATGGGCCCCCTTGCCCATTTGCACCTGTAGCACTCACAGTGATGTCGGTATTGTCATGCGAGAGCAACTCTAATAAGCTAGGAATTATGCGGAGCTTGACCAATAAAGGGTAATGATCGGGAGCGGTGGACAGCACTCGCATCTCTTGAAGAACTTCGTGCAGTTCCACCTCGCTCTCCATAAACTTATCGGGAGAATCCGGAAATTTGATACGCATTTCCCTGTTCTTTAAACTACGCTTCTCAAAGTTGAGAATGATACGTTTAATACCGGCTTCGTCCAAAACTTCACCCTAAAAGTTCATTAAATACGGTTACTTAAAACAGACAGACAAACCTCCGCCTGCTCCGTTTCGACGAATTTCAAAATTTCCTGCCGTTCTTCTTCGGAAATCTGGTCCAGTACTGTCTGAACCGAGGCTGACGGAGAAGGTGGTCTGGCCATCTGATTCGCCTTGGCCCGAGCGATTTTTCGCATTTTGTAATGTCTCTCGTTGTCATCTTCTTCTTGGTCATCCGCCTCGGTTGGTCGTTTAACTGCTTGAGGAGGCTAAATCAAAACAGAAATGCAAGTTTCGGATTTATACGTGCAACGAACCTTGTAAGTTAATAGTTCCCCAATATCCATTATCTTTAACTTTTTCAAAATATTCTCAGATTTAGGTTATGTTGACAAAATTCGTTTAGAAGTGGAGACACATCCGGCTGTGGAAATAACATAACCTTAAATTTAAAAAACTAAATTATGTTCTTATCCAATTTTTTAAATAAATTACCTCGCTTTAATGTAAGTATTCGCGTTTACTATTTCTGTAAATTAATCAAAATTGTTTAGTTACAACAAATCAGAACAAAATGGGTCGATCATCGTATGATACGAGATGTAAAACGAAGAAAATTGGTCACAGAATACACCCCACTGAGATCACGTCTAAACGCCATACGTAAAAATGACATTTTGCCTGCAGAGCTGAGAGAAATTACCGATAAGGAAATTCACGCCTTACCTAGAGATTCCGCATGGCTACGTATAACCAATCGTTGTGTGATAACGTCCAGACCTCGGGGAGTTGTTTATCGTTGGAGACTTAGCAGACTTGTGTTTAGAGATTTAGCCGATTACAATAAACTGTCTGGCGTACAAAGAGCTATATGGTAATTTCATGCTCAAACTAGTTACGATTACAATGTAGTACATTTACCATGCCACCGTGCACTTTGACTAAATTCATATAATAAACCACCACCACACATGCATTTTTCATTTCGTTAATTGAAATACGGAGCAAGAAAAAAAGTTGTTTATTTCTTAAAACTATTTACAGTACAAAAATTAAGAAATTTGTACGTTTAATCAAAGAGTCCAAGACCCATATCGTCGTCTGATTCTTCCGGTTCGGATTCCTTCTTCTTTTCTTCCTTGGCAGCGGCCGCTGCTGGAGCGGCGGCCGGTGCGCCACCGGCTGGAGCAGCACCGCCTGCAGGAGCCGAACCTGCACCGGCACCGATTTTGGTTATCAAGTCCTTGACGTTAATGCCTTCGAGGGCCTTTGCGAACAAACCGGGCCAGTAAGGCTCGACGTCGACGCTTGCGGCTTTAAGAATGGTCTGAATCTTTTCGCCCTAAAAAAATAACCATCAGAAATGAATGAATACGTTATTAGTTTACGTAAGGCGTACAAATGGGGATGAAAGGACAGCGGTAATTGCAGATGAAGGAGGATTATCACACGTGTTTACGGTAGGTAATACTTACGGTTATTGCGACGTCGTCGTCGGCTAAGATGAGGGAAGCGTAAACGCAGGCGAGTTCATTGTTTGCAACCATGATGTTTTGAGTTTTTACTTAATTTAGTGCAAGTTGCCTTTTGGCCTTAGCTCAACTTGAGAACAAGCACACTGTACAGAGAACGATTGTTCACAAATGGACGATTGATTAAATTATTACAAGTTACCAATCGCTCGCGATGCTGCCAACTGTGCGCTAATAAAATACCAAGTGATCTATATACAGCATGTCCAGAAAACAATTTGTTTCATGTTGCACTAAAAAGGGCACGAGACACCACACGGGTTAGAAAAGCTCTATATATTGATGTTTTTTATTCAACACTGGTATTCGGAGCAATCGAAGGCTAATACAATGTTTAAAAAAATCGGGCAACACTGGTTCCAGTCAGTTCGTAGTTCATCTTGCGTATTCGGTACAACTGACCTACAATGAACTAGTAGACCGTTTGTACTGAGCGCTAAACCATGGCAATAACCAAAGTAAAATACAAACATTTCAGCAATTCAAGATCTTTTTAAAATTCAAAATCTTAAATGTCCGAACACGGTGCCACATTACAAACTTACAACCAAGAGCTAGTAAAATGTAAAACATATTACGGCAAATTCTTCATCACACACATACACTTCTTCCAGGTTTAGAGCAACTCAAAATAAGGCGTAACGAATTACAAGATGTGATCCATCAGGAGGAAACGGACAAATCGATACTAGAAAGAAATTTGAAGACGCTGCAAGAAAAATTAAGTAAACTAAACAGTAATCTCGCACAGCATCAAAAGTTACGTGACAGTTACGATCAGACAATCAAGGATACAGAATTAGGTTTTAAGAAAGTAAGGAGTTTTGCAATGAGTGGCGGTAATAATTTGCATTTTAGATACTCGAAAGTTCGCAAACACTTTTAAATTTAGCATTACACGAAGCAAATAAGCTGGGAACGGTAAACAACAACGCCAACCACCACAAGACTGAGGGATGATAATAATAACAAATCGAATTTGTATTTTCATGTATTATTAAACTACATTACGCATTACCAATTGATTTTTGTTGGTTCCAAACTTGGGACAATTCTAAAGACGATTTGTATCCATGAGACGCAATCGTGAACCTATAGTTGTCGTCAGAATACTTATGTTTATAAAAATGAAAATGTTCACAATGAAACGGTTCTAACGGAATTTTTTTGGCAATTATTCCTAAATAAACATCATCAAACCGAAAATGCTTAGTATACATGCTACCAAAATACATGTCAAATAAGGCACTTAGAGATACAATATACGCACCGGCTGTTACGTACGGTGGCCACATATGAAACGCATACTCTTGCAGTGAAACGTACCATTTGCTGAACAAATGGCGGTGAGGTGACGAAAAGAATACGTAACCAGCGTAAAGACTTACGTCCTCGGGGAGCTCGAAATCATCTATTTCGTCGTTTAAATACCGAGGATAATTAGCGGGATTACGTATGAAACGAAGCACATTTCTCGTACTGATATAATAATCATCGTCGACAAACAAGTAAAAGCGCGAGTTCGAGCAGAAATTAACGGCCCACTTAAAACTGATCATCGTTTTAATTGTGTTATTATAATACGAATCTTTAAAGTCGGCTTGAACGATATCGCCGTACTTCGCAGATTCCGCGTTCACTTTCGACCGTAAGCGTTCACCGTCACCGTTGCCCACGACGAAAACGGTACGAATTTCCACGTCGGAAAACCGCCGTTCGTATCCCCACGTTTGCCTAATTGTAAATCGACTGTCAAAGTTTTCTAATGCGGATTTCACAATGTAAACGAGTCTAATCGGTTTATTCGCGCACTTTTCCTTGCACGTTTTCAAAAATGGGAAGTTGTACGAATTCAGAGGTGGAATTTCGGGAGTTTGGTTATTACGTAGTTCGTATATTAGTTTCTTTATGTTTACATTGTAAGGATATGTAAATCGGAGATAATCTTCTTCCATGAAATGAGTAAGTAATCCTAGCTGGTAACTTATCCATATTATTGATGCTATTATCATAAAATATTTTACTTTCAGTTTTAGATTACGGACAGACATTAATTACTAAAATCGAGAAATTTTACCTTTATATTTAATGCCAAAATCACATTCGTTTTTGTAAACAAACTCCCGCAATTAGCTAGGTTATGTTATGTCCCGCCAGCGGCTACAGAGTACTTGCGGCCACAGACCATTAACGATTGCGGCGATGCGACGTTGCACGATGGGCATGCGCACTTTTTGTTAATAACCTGACAAAAATTAACTTAGGCAAGGACGGGTGTAAACTAATAAATAATTTATTCTTTACGGTAAGCTTTTACCTTCGTTGAATTTTTAGAGAAGGAAAGAATAGTTTAAAGTTTAATTAATGAATAAACAAAGCTTTTATGACTATCTTAACCTTAACCATATACAGGGTGAATAGAAAACCGAACATAGGGAATGATCATGAGGAAAAAGGTTTTTTGCAGATCGTTGCTCCCCATGTTAACTTAAAGAGTTATTGAAAGAAAAGTATTTATAGTAAATAACCGTTTACAGCAGTTTTCCGTGCATTTTAATGAACGTCCCAGTCCGTCTGTATCAATTCTTTAGAAAATTTCCAAGGTTAACATGATATTGCTATAAGTGAATTTATTGCCTAATTTTTTATAACATAATGAGAAATACAACTGAAAATGAACTAATTTGTATATCGTTATATGAGACAAAAATCATCTTTCGATTGCGTGTCATTATGAACCCTCCAAGTTAATATGGAGCAGAGCTAATTCAGGAAGAAGTGCTTCAATTACCAAGCAAAAAGTTCTTGGGGCTTCAAGCCCTATTGAAGTGCTTGAAGCACTTTCATACAATTTCGAGCACTTCTAAAGAGCTTCAAGCACTTTTCAAGGGCTTCAAGCACTTTCATAACGAAGCTCTTATCGTGAATTAGGTGACGAAATTGGAAAACCCCTAGTCTTACTCATTCCTTCACTCCTACTCTGACGTTACCTACGTGTTCCGTGCTTCATTAGTGATTAGTCTGCAGTCTGCACATCTCTTCTGCAGAGGCACCACTAAATAGCATTATGCGGGTCACTCTGTAATTGGGCGCATGCCTGTTGAGGGCCCAAAAACAAGAGAGGGGATAATAATAACAATAATCCCATTTTTTTCTTGTAGTACCTACTTTTATAGCACATGCAGTTACAGAGCTGGGTAAAGCCCTCTTGAAAAGGGCTTGAAGCACTAAGCACCGAGCACTTTGTTTTGATAAAAGTGCTTGCAAGCCCTAAGCACTTTTATGTGATGAAAGAGCTTGGAATTACCAATTCACGATAAGAGTGCTTGAAGTTCTTTGAAAGTGCTTTAAGCTCTTTGAAAATGCTTGAAGCTCTTTATAAGTGCTTCAAGCTCTTTATAAGTGCTTCAAGCTCTTTATAAGTGCTTGAAGCTCTTTATAAGTGTTTGAAGGACTTTATAAGTGCTTGAAGCCCTTGAAAAGTGCTTGAAGCTCTTTAGAAGTGCTCAAAATTGTATGAAAGTGCTTCAAGCACTTCAATAGGGCCCCAAGCACTTTTAAAAAGTGCTTGGTAATTGAAGCACTTCTTCCTGAATTAGAAAAGTAATTGAAGCACAGAGCTCTAAGCACTAAAAGTAATTGAAGTCCTTTAGCAAGCACTTTTTTTCAAAGCACTACCCAGCTCTGTGCAGTTATTACTTCTACATTACCCATGGTTACGGGGAGAGTACTGTACCGATAACAACATTTTTTTGTTTACCTAATCGTTTTAAATGAAAATTTGGACAAGCAAAACTTTAGCGATAAAACCACTAATTCCTCCAGTATAATTACGATGCGGAAGTACTGTTTCTAGTGTGTTTTTTAAAGTGTTTTCAGTTTTATGAAAGGTGCTTTATATTGTTTATATTTATATTAATTTATATTGTCAATTACTGTGATCCAAGCACTTTTAATGACTTTAAGCACTTTCCAAGGCCTTGGTGCTTTGTATTTTCAATTACTTTAGAAAGTGCTTGGTAATTCCAAGCTCTTTAATCACATAAAAGTGCTTAGGGCTTGCAAGCACTTTTATCAAAACAAAGTGCTCGGTGCTTAGTGCTTCAAGCCCTTTTCAAGAGGGCTTTACCCAGCTCTGAATTATGGGGAACAATCTGCAAAAAAACGTTTTTCTTGTTCGGTTTTGAAATATTCACCCGGTATATAACCGATGGAAGTGGCTATGGATACTGTACCGGGCCCGATTGCAGTCTCACAGGGTGGAACAAATGTAAGTGTCAAATACCACGAAGTAAATTTTCAACATGTAGATTGTTGACACTGAACTAATATTCGTGAAATCTGCACTATTGTAAAGCGCCCTAAACAGAGTTCAACTGCGTTTATGAGATTATTATTATATTAAAAGATAATTGATAAAAAGTAAGACCCCTACCTACTGAAATGATAACTGTAGGGGATCAAATAAACTTTCATCGCAGTTTTTAGGAGAGGCACATGAAACTGGCATTTGGAAATTTCATACTATGAGAGAAAACATAGCGCGTACCTTGTTCCCAAAACCTGCATGTCCATTCTTACTCCAGATTTCGGCAAAACTCTATCGAATCTTCCTTTTGTGGGAATTGCATGGCCTTCCAGACCCTCCAGTAATGCGTTCATTTGTTTGTCCTATTTACGATAAGGGTTCAAAGGTTTGAGAGAGGAGAACGTAACGTCATGGGGGACGGAATAATCCCCCCCCCCCTCTTTATCCTTATTAGTAACAATGTCCAATGATAGCCTTTCCAATTTTGCATATACCTATTCATCCGTTTCCTGAAAATGTTTTGATGTTACAGATTATTTGGATTTATCTCATTTACCTACCCTATTCTTTAAATTTAACCGATTCTGTAAATTTGAACACAGCAAATATTGAATTTGGCACTTGAAAGACCTTAAATTGTGACTTAATTTATATTTTTCAGGAAAAGGACACCCAATTTTGGATTCTTGAAATGTGAAGCCCGCGTTTTTCAATAATAAATTTAAAAAAAACAATATCAAATACATCAACAATAGTAGTGAATTCTCGTATTTTATTATAATTTAACAATGTCTTAAGTGGGTGGTAAGAACTTTTGACCTCGCCATCAAAACAAATTTTATGTGTATTTGAATTACTTTGAACCGAATCGTTATGTTGCCCATTAAACAGTTATCAATCAACCATGAAAAAGGTCAAAACATCTATATAGGGTAATCAGAAGAACGAACGATTGCGAAACATCCTACTAAGAGTTTTTATTAGACAGCAGATCGAAGAAGTCGAAGCACCCTTCCGTATTAATGGATACGAAAAAAAAAAAATCGAAAAGTTCGAATCCGCGAGAGGGTGCAAACCCCCTGGCAATCGCGACATTTGCGTAAGTGAAAAATGACTTACCCAATTAAATAAGGTACCTACTGTTGATTAGGTATACGTTTCCGACTTTCATCCAAGGCTTCAAGCGGGAGTTCGCCGAGGCCGATCTCTACGAGACATTCTCCGAACATAAGTCGGCCAAATTGGGGGACGATATAGAAAAGGCTTGGAATTTGGAGTTGGAACGTGCCAATAAGTTGAGCGTGCAACCGTCACTTGCCAGGGTGTTGGTAAAGCTGTTCGGGCTAAATTACTTACTGCTGGCTATTCCGGTCATGTGCGTCGACTTGGTTTTCAAGTAAGTGAGTGTTTTCCTGTTATTACACTAAATGCACTGTTGCAGAATGAGCCAACCTTTACTTTTGGCTAAATTGATTGCATACTACGCGCCGTCTACATCGACATCGATCACAAGTAAAGAGGAAGCGTACTTTTATGCGGCCGCCGTGGTATTTTGCTCCCTGCTTGTGGTTCTTTTTCACTACCCTTACATGATCGGTGTGCTGCACGCGGGGATGAAGCTGCGTGTGGCCTGCTGCTCTTTGGTATACCGCAAGACGCTAAAACTGAGCAAAACGGCCCTGGGTGGGACAGCCAGCGGGCAAATAGTAAATCTCTTAGCGAATGACGTCAACAGATTCGATTTCTTTACCGTTTTTATCCACCACCTGTGGGTGGCACCGGTACAAGCGTGCATTGCATGCTACTTAATGTACCAAGAAGTCGAGTATTCGGCTCTCTTCGGTTTGGCCTTCCTATTACTCTTCATACCCTTCCAATGTAAGTGCAAGAACGAAAGATCCGCTTAATCCTTCTAGTCAGGGAGACATTTCTGAAAAAGGCTCTCTAAATCATGTCTAACGGCGTTTTGTGCTACAAACTGGCAACAGGCGGTTCTAGACTAATTTGCCCCCGCTGAAAACGATGCGCCCTGTTGCCAGACCCAATTTAGACATTTAAGCCCTTAAATCCAAGATGGCGGCCAAAATTGCCGTTTTTTCGAGCCCACAAGCCAGCCACTGAACGTTTTGGGTAATTTAAGGGTAGAATAACATCTAGTACACACGACGACACCGTTTAGGCACAATTTCGTATTCATATTAAGGGCGTAAACTCCGCTTAAAAACGTCAAAAATGCAAAAATTCATCATTTTTTTTCTTTCTGACCGGTTGTCGGCGTCCAATATGCATTCATATGGTCAAGTTAACATTTAAGTATGTGGGGACCTACAGCAGCGCCATATGCGCCTGGGGCCTAAATATCAAGATGGCGCCTGGAAAGTCCAAAAACAGTGAAAAAGTCGTTCTTTTTGTCGTATTTTTAGTACACTGGCCACTCTTTACGTTCGCTGTTAATTTTGGTGTTCTCGAACATTATTATCAGTAATTGCGACTGCCACCCCGGACATAATACATCCCCACGAGAGGGGGTGGAATTATCATCAATTACGCCGCCAAAGCAACTTCTGCCTCTTGGTTCCATAGTTAAAGTTTATAGGAGACGAGTTTCCACTTCCGCAGTTAAGCCCTTCAGTGGTGTAACATCCAAAATGATATTCGCAATTCGCATATTATTGCTCCAGGCCATCGAAATGGAGAATGTGTGGCTAGTGTAGTAAAAATACGGCAAAAAGAACGACTTTTTCACTGTTTTTTGGACTTTCCAGGCGCCATCTTGATATTTAGGTCCAGGCGCGCCTTGGGGGCTCGAAATAACCGAAAAACGGTAATTTCGCCCGCCATCTTGGATTGAAGGGCTTAAATGCCAAAATCGGGTCTGGCAACAGGGCGCATCGTTTTCAGCGGGCGCCAATTAGTCTAACCGCCTGTTGCCAGTTTGTAGCACAAAACGCCGTTAGACATGCACTTTTCAGAAATGTCTCCCTGACTATTCCACTTTCAGTTCTGATTGGAAAGATGTTGTCAAAAACTCGGCTTAAGACCGCGTCAAAAACAGACGAAAGAGTTTGCTTGATGAACGAAATTATCTTAGGAATACAAGTGATAAAAATGTACACTTGGGAAAGGCCCTTCACCGAACTGGCCCAGGCGGCACGAAGGTATGCGAATTACTAATGACCTGTGTCTCACGTTGACTTCTTCAGCTTGGAGATAAGATGCATCAAGATTTCGTCGATATTTAAAGGAATAATGGCGTCATTTATCATGTTTTCGACTCGTTCCTCGTTATTTCTGACAATATTAGGATATGTCCTTTTCGGTAATGCGATCACCGCCCAAAAAGTATTCATGCTGACCAACTATTACAACGTGCTACGCCTGACGATGACGGTCTTCTTTCCGCAAGGTCTCGCCTTTCTGGCAGAAACGAAAGTGTCCATTCAACGCCTGACCGAATTTTTACTCCACGAGGAGGTGGCGCCGCGCGAATCGGTAGCGGCGTATAAGCGAAACGCCGATCCGAATTCCCAGGATATCATCTGCGTAGAAAAGGGCACCGCGAAATGGACGGACTTCATGGCGGACAATATTTTCTCCGATCTGAACATCAACGTACGAGCCGGTTCGTTGGTGGCGATCATCGGGCCGGTCGGTTGTGGTAAATCGAGTATACTGCAGGCGCTGCTCAAGGAATTGCCGCTAAAATCCGGAACGCTTACGGTCAAAGGTACCGTAAGCTACGCCTCCCAGGAGCCGTGGTTGTTTACTGGAAGCCTACGTCAGAATATACTTTTCGGTCAAAATATGGACAAGATACGTTACAAAACTGTAGTGGACAAATGCGCCCTGCGACGCGATTTTACGCTTCTATCCAATTCGGATAAGACGGTAGTTGGTGAACGAGGTGCTTCGCTAAGTGGCGGACAGAGGGCGCGCATCAATTTGGCTCGCGCGGTATACAAGCGGGCCGACATTTACTTGCTCGACGATCCTTTATCCGCCGTGGACCCCGACGTCGGTAAACAATTGTTTAAGAGCTGCATAAAGGAGTTCCTACGTCACAAAACCGTCATCCTGGTAACGCACCAACTGCAATACCTGCAAGATGTCGACCATATCATCATTATAGACAATGGGTACATACAAGCGCAAGGGACGTTTCGCGATCTGCAAGCTTCCGGTTTGAACTTCGCCAAATTACTAACGAGCGAGAACGACTTCGTCGAGGTCGAGAGCGCCGAGGCGGTGAATCGCAGGATGTCGATTCAAATGTGCGCGCAACGAAAAGACTCGATAGTCGGGATGCAGAGAAAAATGTCGGTGCAACTCGCCTCGCAGAGAAGAGAGTCTATTATAAGTATACAATCTGACGACATCATGGATCCGGGAGCGCCGGAGGAGAAAATTGTTCGGGGCTCCGTTTCCGGTAGTGTTTACACTTCCTATCTAAAAGCGGGAGGTAACTATCTTTACATCGTTGGAGTAATCCTGCTGATACTTGCCACGCAGTGTCTGGCAAGTTTTGTTGACTATTTCATTGCAGTTTGGTGAGTGTACAACCACCTCCATTTTCGTTTAGTTTCCCGGGAGAACAACGTTACAACTCTCAAAATTGTTATGGTCCAACAATTTCTTGAATGTCCCCTAAGTAACTCTTATTAGAACTTTTAAAAGCAGGACCAGACTATCCTAGAAGGCGTCGAAAAAGTCAAAAAAAACTTTCTTGTTTTGTTAATGTTTCAAATTCTGTGGAAACCTTCAATTGTTTTGGAAAGTCTATGGGTTTCACGAATCCAAAAACATTTTGGGACTCTCTATCACTTTTCTGGGTTCAGGCATTTTCTAGTACCCTTGAGTGTTATATCACTATTATTGAAAAGCAAAGAATATACAGGGTGAGTTTGTTTTCACTTTAAGCATTAGGATCTCGGAAACCGTAAGACATAGAGATTCGGTTAAATGAGGTTAGAGTTGTATTTTTAAGAGCTTATTCAAGATATGCTTTTGTTTTTTTAAAAAAATCCACAGTTTACTAGATATGAGCGAAAAACAGGTTTAGTGATAATGTCAAAGCCAACTATGACTACCTTTTAAAAAATTTAAAGTTTGTATATAACTCAAAAATTGTAAGATCTAAAAATAAATTAGTATGTTCATCATGTTAAGCATTAAAATGCCTAAAACTTTTATTCGTGTCATTTTGTTGTATTTCTAATAATAACGATTCTACAACAGTTAAATGAAAAATCACTAAATCTGTTTTTCGTTCATATCTAGTGAACTGTGGATTTTCTTCAAAAAACAAAAGCATATCTTGAATAATCTCTTAAATCTACAACTCTTTCTTCATTTAACCGAATCTCTATGTCTTACAGTTTCCGAGATCCTAATGTTTAAAATGAAAAAAAAAACTCACCCTGTATATAGATGTGGAAAGTTGATAAAACGATAGAAAAAAAGTGTTGAGGCACTTTCAAGAATTATAATGACTTGGTAAATTGATGATATTCCGCAAGAAGCAATCAGACGCTAAAACGTGCCAGGAAAGGAGTAAAAGGCTCCAGAATTAATTATCCTATTAATTTTACGATCATGGTGGAAAGCTTATAGAGCAAACTAGCGCTTTTCAAAGTGTTTTCAGGGACTGGGCACTTTTAAATGCCATTCCTAGAATTAAAACTAGCTCCGAGAAAGACATTCAAAAGCTCGGAAAATGACCACAGGGTTCTGGAAACTATTTACAAAAAAACTGGAAATAGCATAATTCTTGAGACTCTTACAGGCCCCTATGGACCGGTGTGAACTTGGCCCCCCAACTTTAGAAAGCAATAATTTTCGTGATTGAAATGAATTGCGCTTCGTTTGAATTTCATTTTATTTTGCGCTCCGCGTCCTATTTTCAATAAGAATGACAAATATCATTAGAATGCACAATCATTTGTTGCTCTTTATTTACCATAAAGGTTAAAGGGGATTTGGAATAACTCAAAAACGAAGAGGGCGCAAACGAAGGTATTGGGAGCGCAAACGATCACCAGAAAAAAAAGTGAAATTTGTAAACTTGGGGGGCAGTCGTGAAGTTGTCCCCCCCCCCCCGAATTTGATTCCTTCGTAATTTTGAAACCGGCAGCGCGCTAACAAAATGCAATTGTGCGCAAACGATCAAATAGAAAAAAATGGCAAATTTGAAAAATGGGGGGGGGCGGTATGGAATTTTGTATTTGAAATAACTCAAAAACGAAGAGGGCGCAAACGTAGGTATTGGAAGCGCAAACGAACACCAGAAAAAAAATGAAATTTGTAAACTTGGGGGGCAGTCGTGAAGTTGTCCCCCCCCCCCCCAGAATTTGATTCCTTCGTAATTTTGAAACCGGCAGCGCGCTAACAAAATGCAATTGTGCGCAAACGATCAAATGGAGAAAAATGGCAAATTTGAAAAATGGGGGGGGGGGCGGTATGGAATTTTGTATTTGGAATAACTCAAAAACGACGAGGGCGCAAACGAAGGTATTGGGAGCGCAAACGATCACAAGAAAAAAAATGTCAAATTTCTAAACTTGGGGGCAACCCCCCCCTCCCAAATTTGATTCCTTCGTAATTTTGAAATCGGCAGCGCGCAAACAAAATGCAATTGTGCGCAATCCATTTCAATCACGAAAATTATTGCTTTCTAAAGTTGGGGGGCCAAGTTCGCACAGGTCCCTGATGCGAGTATGCTATTGCACTTTTGTAACGTTGTACCTACCTCTCAAAATTATCCATATCCAGCAATTAAACTGCAACCAACTTTCAGGGTAAACATCGAGCACGAACGTTCCATTGGTTTCACAGATGAACACTTCCGTAACCGAACGATTTACTTCTCAACAGAAAGTGCGATCCTCATTTACTCGGGCGTGTCGGTGGCGTTAATTTTAACTGCGCTCACCAGATCCTGCGCCTTTTTTGTGATGTGCGCAACGATATCACAAAAACTTCACAATTCCATGTTTAACAATCTAATTCGGACCACGATGGGCTTCTTCAACACGAACAACTCCGGAGTGATCCTGAACAGATTTTCAAAGGACATTGGAGCGATTGACGAAAGGCTGCCGCTTGCCCTCATGGATGTTCTGCAATTGGGAATGAGTTTACTGTCGATTATTACGATAATCGCTACGGTCAACTATTGGCTAATCATACCGACGTTAGTGATATTTATTTTGTTTTATTTCCTAAGAATGTTCTTTTTAACTACGAGTCGCAACATTAAACGATTGGAGGGAGTGAGTAAGTTGAAGATGCCGCTCTCACTTAGACACGCTTTATAAACTCACTTACAGCTCGAAGTCCGGTTTTCGGGCATCTTAATGCATCACTACAAGGCCTCACAACAATACGGGCATTTGGTGCGCAGCAAATACTGGAGAAAGAGTTTGATGGCCACCAAGATCTGCACAGCTCTGCATTTTACACCTTCATATCCATTTCGACAGCTTTCGGTTACTTTCTCGATCTTTTCTGTGTGGTATATATTGCTACCGTAACCGTGAGTTTTCTCCTCTACGATACGGGTGAGTGGAAAGTCTAATTAAAAATTTTCACAATCAAAATTCCAGGCAGTCAAGGAGGCAATGTGGGACTGGCCATAACGCAAGCTCTCGGTCTAACTGCACTGTTCCAATGGACCCTGAGGCAAACTGCCGAGCTGGAGAACCAAATGACGTCAGTAGAACGCGTCTTGGAATATACACACTTAGTGCCCGAACCGATTTTTGAAAGCGAACAAAATCAAAAACCTCCCCCAACCTGGCCCGAGAGGGGGGAAGTGAAATTTGTAGATCTATCAATGAGCTACTTCCCGGAGGATCCGCCAACATTAAAGCACCTAAGCTTCACAATTAAACCGTTAGAAAAGGTGGGCATCGTAGGGCGGACGGGTGCCGGTAAATCGTCTCTCATATCTGCTTTGTTCTTACTGGCTCCGACCGAAGGGGCAATAGTAATCGATGATGTCGTAATCCAAGACATCGGGCTGCAGGAGTTACGATCGAAAATTTCCATCATCCCCCAAGAGCCGGTTCTCTTTTCGGGAACCATGAGATCAAACCTGGATCCGTTCGACGAATACGACGATGAGGTGTTATGGAAAGCGCTCGAAGATGTCGAGCTAAAAGATTCAATCACCGACAGCCAGTTAGGGTTGAACTCGAAGATTTTGGAGGGAGGTACCAATTACAGTGTGGGACAGAGACAAATGATCTGTTTGGCAAGAGCTATCGTACGTAACAATAAGATCTTGGTGCTCGATGAAGCTACGGCCAATGTTGACCCACAAACTGACGCTTTCATTCAAAAGACAATTCGAAGAAAGTTTGCCGACTGTACCTTACTTACGATTGCCCACAGATTAAACACTATTATGGATTCGGACAAAATACTAGTGATAGATGCGGGTAAATTGGTCGAGTTCGATCATCCCCACAATTTGCTTAAAAATAAAAATGGATATTTTTATAAGATGGTTGATCAAACGGGAGCAGCACTGGGTAACTTTTTGAAAAACGTAGCGCAAACGGTCAGTAGTCAGCAGTACTGCGCAAAATAGACCTACATGATTGGATTTCAGAATTACCAAAAGATGACTGTAAAAGAAGAAAATGAGAAAGAAAGCGATAAAAGCAACCAGGCGGAAATAGCTGCACCTCCACCAATCAAGGAGTCCGAAAAGATCGTTGTTAGCGTGAGACCTATAACGGTAAGTACATATTATAAAAAATCTTTCAGCAGTTTCTCAATTTTGACTGTTTTTAGAGTTATAACTCAACATTATTAGAAGAGGAAGAAGAAGACGATGATTAATTGTTTCTTGTACGTACTATAAAATTGAATAAACGTGAGCAAGCTCAGAATTTTACAAAGCTACAGTTGTTTAGTCGCCTCTTACGACGCGCAGTGACCTCTGCGGTAAGGGTATTCTTTCCCGCCCTTACACAGGCAAAGCACCTGATCGTATACACAAAATTAGCCTACCCGTTGCATCTAAAACGTATTGTGAGCACAGGCGAACACAAAAATATATAAAATTGTAGTCGTAAAGTAAAGGACCATAAGTTTGGATGTACATTGATTTAAATGGACTGTTATAAGTAATTGAAATGAATGCATTATAAGTATTATAACAATCTGATATGAAATATGAGATAATAAATCACAATATTAAAAACATAAAAGAAATCTGACAACGCAGCTACAATTGAACTAAAACATAACCCTACTTACACTTTACACCTTTGTGGACGTCTTTTTCAAGAGAAATCAATTAATTTTTGTGCATAATAACGTAACATACCTTAACAAGATTTGAGCATAGTTTTCTTGAAAACCTTAACTGGACTCCTAACCATTACCCAGGTGGAACTAGCTCAACGTCCTTGCCATGGAATGCCAATGCAGTAGTTCATTTGACCCCATTCTGCCATATTGAACTTAACCTAAAAAATTTGTACCTAGAAATCGAAATGTTTACAAGATTAAACAATGCAAAATTAGCAATAACCGTCGAAGCCTTCACTACAAATTACACAAACCTTCAGGTATACAGATGGGGGAAAAAACCGCGATGGCTACCGACTGCCAAAACGAAGATGTTTCGAGTAGCTCCCAGGCCACAAATACCGACGGAAGATTACGAAGAACTAAAACGGCTACACAACAACTATAGGACACAAATAAAATCTCTAACCGGCTATTTCACGGAAAAATATTCCACAGAAAACATTCAACAATTCGATATAGAACAGCACGAGAAAAGCATCAAGGACGACTTCTTAAAGTGTACGGCGATCAACGACGAGTGGAATCGGCAAATTAAAATTCAAAGAGAGGAAAGGGTGGCAAAGGAATTGGAAGAAAGCGTCAACCTTGCCAAACAACGTTTAGAAGAACGACAACAGCGGCAGCTCCTCAAGTTGCAGGCGGCCGACGTAGAGGTACGTCGCGTAATCGAGGACTCGAAGGATTTTATTACACCTGACAAATTAGATGCCGCGATCGAATATGCGCTTAATAATCCAGTCGATTACAATTTTGCTTTAGATTTAGATGGAAATGTATATAAAGGTAGAAACAATGATAGCGTAAAATTTGAAATCAAACAATAAATTAATTAAACAAAGAGCTTAAAAATTCTTTCCTGTCTTCAATATTTTCAGACGCCTCACTTGTCGGTTTACGTTTAAATTTAAAATCGCTAGCGGAAACGGGCAGCTTCTTCTTGCTCTTACTCAAGTTCGACGTAAAGAAGTTGGTTTTCTTTTTCGCCAATTGAATTTCGGCTCTCAGTTTTTGCCTACGTGCCGCCTTTTCGTATGCCAACCTTTCGTGTAAATGAACCCATTTAAAGTTAGACAAGTATTTTATGTTCCAAATGTAATCGAATTGTTTGGATTTTTTTCTGTTGCTGACTTGAGTATTGTTTAGCATGGCGGCCACTTTCTTCGCTACACTTTTGCGTTCAAATTCAATCCATCCCTCGGTGAACTTTTTCGCAATTGTACGTTTTTTGGATTTCTGCTGGGCGATTTTTGGCTCTAAAACAATTTATAATGTTACGGAATAGTTTTTCGAAGCAACGAAGTGTACCTTTGTCTTCCAACTGTAGGTAGACTCTGCCGACGGTGCCATATTCCGAAAATATTTCTCTAATTTTAGTTACGTTTACATATGGCGGTATTGTAGACAAATATATAATGCCTTTTTTAGGTAACTTTTTGTTAGGTTCATCAATTTCTTGATCCAAATCCAACATTTTAGTCAAAAAAGGGTAGCTTAACCTCAAAGTCAAAACTCAAAATCATTTGTACGCCTGTGCATTAGCCACAGCCGTTTTCAACATCACAATATTATTCATATACAGGGTGACTTATTTGTGAATAGCATATGCATTAGATACAGTCTGTATAATGGATGTATGATTAGCAACAAAATCCGATCGGTACGGAATGAAATACCATAACTGACTTAAAGCATATGTAGATTATGTATATTATCCCTAGAGAACTCGGGTACTTAATTACGAAAACATTTATTATTAATAATTATACAATAATTGAAGCTACACAAAACCATGAGCTACGTCAATGTTGTGTTGCAGTTCACTTTTCCGCTTTGCTAAATCTTTGTATGCCTTAACCGCGAGCTCTAAAGAACCCTTCTTTTGTGCAATCTCTTGAATGTACCAATTCAAACCGTTCAAACCATGCAAGTCTGTTACGTTAATTTGAAAATCGTGTATTTTTCCAAATAAATTCAGTAGATGATTGACCTCCTCGATATGGGCGGTCTCTATTAACTCCAGCATCAAGTTATCAATATTCTTAAACCAAGTTACATAAAAAACAAACGGTCCGAAATGTCTAGTCGATCGTAATTTATCAAAGCCGTTGTTATCATTCATGTGCTGATACGTAATGCTAGTAACACGCTGATAGTCGTTATGATCGGGTTCAAATTGAATACAAGCTCGATTTAATATGAATTCGTATTCACCTCGTTCCAATAAACTTTCAAAGTAGCTATCGTAAAACATTTTGGGAACCTACAAGTGAAAGATCGCAAAATGTCAACGAAGAAAGTGCATACCTTTAATTTACGATACGGTTTGGGAAAGTAAACTTGATTCATGCGATCCCTTTCGTCCCAATTTGCATTGCGCAACGTACCGTTTGGTTCCCGTACAACTATTAAACGATCTCGATCCTTCAAGCCGAACGTAATATCGGTGAACACGACGTTTGTGCTCTCCAAGCCTTTCAGGGGAGCATCGTGTGCATACACGCGATCGATTGACGTTCGAATCCGCACGACTGGAGGCATGTGGAGTATGTTTTCATCCGCACGCCTCTTAGCTTCCGAGATTGATTCTTGTAATTGCTCGTCGGTCATAAATTTATATACGGGAAATTCCGAATTCCCATCGCCCAATTTCCGTTTCTTATACACCTTTTTAATGTCCACCCTGGTGAGTGATTTTAAAAGTGATTGAACGTCCTTACGAAAAAATACAGGGGCTGGATCACGTTCTCCATCTAAAATTTTCAAAATTAAAATTTTTTATAGGCTATGTTTAATTGTATACCGTAATACGAAGGTGTGTATCTGGATAAGGGGCAAATTATCTGTAAATATCCCTTTCTTGAAATATTGCTTTGTTTTAATAGCTGAGGTAAATTTTTTAAGAGACGCATAATTCAATATTTGAGGTTATTCATAGGGTGCGTTCAGCAAGGACAATGTATATACATGGTGTTACACAGAAATATGTAAAAAAAAAATGTGGGTTGTACAGGGAATCAAAACAAAAACTTTTCCAAATAAACCTAGAGTCCAATGTGTTACTTTTAGGTGGTGGAAGACTGGTGGGAGGTTTTCGGGTATCATACCCTAAGATTTCGCAAACATTTGTTCAAAATTACTACCACGAAAGTGCGCATACCTAAATGGGGGTGCGATAAAAATTCCGACACGATATTTGGTATCTGTGAGGGATCTAATTCTGCATGTGGTCAATTGAAAATGTCGCGGGCTATGAAATGAAATTTCAAATTTGGGCGTGAAACCCTTATCAAATGTGCCGCTTCAAGTCATAAAAAGAATCTCATCATTTGTCCCTATAAAGGAATTCACTCCTAGAATCACTTGATGCCAATAGAGCACACCAGTACACAATTATCCACTTCTACAAACTAAAAAAAAATGTAATTCAATTAATTCTGAATGACCCCATTATATTTTCAAAATGGCTCAACCCGATGATCAACAAAGGTGGTCAGGTATTGCTCAAAGACATTTACATCTTCTGTTTATATTTGAAGTATGACTTCAGTAACATTTTCCTTCAAAAGAGGAATACATAGGTACAGTAGAAAGAAGACCATAAAAAATGCAATTACCACCATAAATAAAGAAAGACATGTCTACTTTAAGAAGTTACAAATTTGACAAATTGGATCTATAAAAAAAAAAGGTAGCAGCAGCACGAAGCGTACTAGGAGATTAAACAAAATACATTGGGGTACCTTTTACAATCTCAGTCTTGATTGCCAATAACCTTTGAGCACGTGCCAAGTCGTTCATATCAATGCGCTGATTTTCACAGTAAACTTTAGCACGCGCCGCCGCCAAATGGGCATAATAAGTTGGTGCCGGATAACTAACAGATCGCGTACAGCGCGCAAATAAATGGCATAAATGATATGTAAGTTCCTCCAACTCGTCCTCTTGCATGTCATTGTCGTCCCATAGCTTTCTGTATTTCGTTGGTCTTGCGACGCCCTGAATACTTGCGTGCGAAACTAAGTAAAAATCTAAGGCCGTCGGATGGGTAATTTCGGTGTCGACGACTGTACCTGCGGGCACATTAAAATTTCTATCTTCGCTGTCCCTTTGGCTCATGGGGAAAAATCGGGTGTGGTGCCGCTTTTGAACGACCAAAAACGTTAGCTGAGGCTTATAGTTTCCGGTGGGATCCACCATCGCGCATCCTCGACGAACCGCCTGGACTTCGGAGTTAACGACAATTTCAAATTGACCTTCCGACACACCGTCACGGAAGAATATAATTCGCTTCGGTTTTATGTTGTTGGTCTTTTCAAAGTAGGTCAAGTGTTCTTTAACTATGTTTGCTAAATCGGTGATTATTTCTTGCGTAGATTGCTGTAATCGACAGGTAATGTTGTACTTGAAGGCGTAACGATCGTGAGATGCTGTAACGGCAGCTACGCTTGGTACACTTCCTCTACTCTCGGGACTGGGATGTGTGACATCAGCACCCATGATCATACAAGGTTCCTTCAAACACCGAGGAGTCTCGTAAAGTGTGTGATTCAATCCGTTTAATTTCGCGTTGACTTTCAGAAGAATGTTTCCGACAGTTGACGGTTTTGGTCTACAATACAAATGGCAGTGACCGGTTTGAGAAATATTCCTTACCTGAACACATTTTTCCCTTTCACACATTGGGTCATAACGCCGACGCTGATTTCGGCAGCTTGTTTAACATAATTGTAAATCTCTTTTTGGTCAGGTATTACAACTAATATCAGTTGCTGATCTTTAAGCTCTTTGAACTTAGCTTCTATGGTATCCTTCTCTCTGTAACGTTGTGTGCGTACAGTCAAAATTTTTGGAGGCGCAATGGTCATACCCAAAGGTCTTCTTCCTTGGTCGATCATCTGAAAAAATGCAGTTTCAATCAAAACTTTCAAATAAAAACAGTTGTGTGGATTACCAATTACTTTAGAAATATGACTTTATCTTGACCAGTGTAAGGTACAAAACAGGTAAAAAGGTTTTTGCCCTAAGGCAAGTAACTCATTTGGCATGCATTGATCAGTACTTCCCAAAAGGCAATAGCTATGTGCGCTATGTTTTAAAGGGTTTTCTTTACTAGAGACATCTATAGGTAAAATTTCAAAGAAATATCTCCATAAATAAGAAAATTGATATTTCGCAGTCTGCGCATGCGCAACATTAATCGTTGAGCTGGTTTTACATCAACAATAACTTGATCAATTTCTTGTCGGATTAGCACAATTTCTATTTTTCTGCCAATCTTACGCCAATTCAGTAGTACCAACTACCATCAACCAACATAAATAATAAAATCAAGATGTTTTCATTATTTTTATTTTTCTATTCCGTAAAGACAGAGGGAAACATTTTTACACTTTTCACTTTTTTTCTACACAATTAAAAAAAATGACAACCTAACCTTAAAATAATTAAAGGTTGGTGAGATTGTACGATGACTTTAAAACAACAAGAAATTGATCAAGTTAAAAGCGGTGTAAAACCAAGGAACTTGAGCAAGAAATTGTTCAATAAATTGACAAATAACTTCAAATTGTGGATGTAAAACTAACTTTAAAGATTTTTCTTGGCTCAGATGCCATTGCTATAAGCTACCCAATTCAAAAAGAACGAAATAAATATATTGAAAATCGACTGAAAAAAATTCAAAGGACTGTAACTTTTGATCTAGTAGTCCGATCTTGGAACTGTTTGAAATTATGGATTCTACAGGCCACATTCTATAAGAAAATATTTTTTTCCGGTCGATCTAGTAGTCCGATCTTGGAACTGTGTGCGCCATCTCCATGGCAATTATAGTTTTAGAAGTCTAGTTGAGATGTCGCCACGTACGCAACTTCTTTGTAAATTTCATTTGAATTTATGCGATTAACAGCAACGTCGCACTTATTATTCCTTAAAAGGCAGTTCAAAATTTACCGAGTCTTGCAAGATCGTGTAGAGCAATTGTAGTTTAAAGGCCTGGTGAAAAATGCGCGAAAAATATGCAGATTTTTAGAATCTACTGTTAATCAATTGTCAAATACAGTATTTCCCAAACTATGGGTCGCGGCCCACCTAGCGAATATTGAATGGGCCCTAATGAACGCCTAAATGAATTTAAAAAATAGGAAGAAGTGAAAAATTCAATATTTCATTCAGCTATTTATAATTTCCAAAAATGTAAATAAACTCAAGTTACAGAAAAAAGTGAATAAATAGCTGGTGGGTTCTAAGATTGCGATTTTTTTTTTAGATAGGTCCGAGCCCAGTCAACTTTGGGAACCACTGGTCTAATATGATCTCTGGGTTCGCTAGTAATGTACCGTTAGAGACACCAACCGAAAGAAGATTTTTTTTCTCAACTATACGAATTAGTTCATTTTCAAGTGTATTTCACATTATTTTCTAAAAAATTCGGTAATAAATCCATTTAGCAAAATCATGTTAAGCCATGGAAATTTTCAAAACAATTGAAATAGCTGGTGACACAGACCGAATGGGTCGCTCATTAAGTATTAAGTAAACATTTTTTATTATAAATACTTTATCCTCGGTGAAATACATTTTACAAAAAAATTAATGGCAGTTGTCATAAACTGAAATTGAACCGGTTTAACCGGATTGGTACAAATTACCATGGAAACAATTATGGCAATAATGGTTACCATAGCAACATCTACCAACTCGGTTAAACCGATTGAATTTTCAAAAACCCATTTAATTTCATCGAAATTGAACCACACTGTGTAGTTGCTAACGGAGTAAAACATACCATTTGGGCGAATTCCTGAAGTGCTGGCGGTTTTGTACGGTCATCAAGGCATACAATAGTCCAATTCTGTAGTTGATTCGATGTACAGAACTGGTCCGCTCGCCATACGCCTTTTTGTACGTTTACCGAATTACTGTGATACCGAATAGAAGGTGGTTGTAAAATTCTTGCCGGAACTTTTGTGAAGTCCGTATTTACGGATATTGAAAATTCTCTAGCGCAGGGATCACTGTTGTAATTCGCTCGCGCCACCGAATCCATAATTTTCTGTTTTCTAATTTGTGTAGAGGTGGCAGCGCTTCTTATCATGTTCGATGTTTGATTGGGAGTCATTTGCCGATTGGTAACCTACGCATTTCACTATAACATAACAATTTAAAGAGATACGCACTTACTTGATTAGGTTCAATGGTACAGAATTCCATTGGTAGCAGAATTCTCGGTTGCCGTTGTCTACTGCCGACCCACAAGCAAGGCAAATGCGGATAACGTAAAGGGACCTGTTTTACTTTAGCGAAATAATCTGCTACGGTCATTTCAACGTTCTGTTCATTTCTAAAACGTGCATCTTTGGCCGGACTGTCCAACTCATTGACTCTCATTATGCGCCTCGAGTTTGGTTGGTTTGGTATCATATACACAACCTTTAGCATCTTCATAAACCTATTCACTGCGTCATGATTCTGGTGAACCAATGGTTGTGTCAGTTGATAATAACTACCACACACTTCTTGAACCATGTCCAAGACATGCATCATTTTTGGAAACGCTTTGTGCGAAACATCTACATTTAAGAAAGGTTTCCAACCGAGCACAGCCGATTGGTAGACACCATTATACATTTCCATTCCTTCCCCCAGATCAATCATCCTGTTTGGTTGTGTGAAAAATGATCGCCCGACCGGTATACAATTCAAAGCCGGAGCATTTCTCAAAACAATGTCCAAGCACTGAATCGCTTCTTGAGGCGTGACCATGTGGATATTTGCACGTGCAGTAGACTGCAATAAATACACGCATACTGCATAAGTTACAGATAATTATTATTTATAGTTAATAGCAAAATCTGTTTTATGTCCTTTCATAAAAATTACTACAATATAACAATTTCAATTTGGTCAAAACAATTGCCTCCAGAAAACAAAAAACTACTGTAACAAAGACAATTTTGTAAAAACAAAAGAATGTGATATCAAATGTTGAACTATTATTATTGTTTATTAAGTGAATCGAATTATTTTTGACAAGTGAATGTTGTAAGACATGTCCAAGCCACCTATTTATGTTTTATATCGAGAAAATGTGAATGTACAGGGTGGCCAACTAAGAATGCGAGGTACTGTATCTGAGAATCTATCGGCTACGAGAAAAACCTGGAAAATATTTTTAAGTTTCTGCAATGGCCGCTAGGGGGCGTAACTGCAATCTGGAATCTAAAAAAATGATTTTTCTGTGAATTCCGCTATATTAACCTAACAAAAAAATGTCCGGTCTTTGAAGTTGACGATAACCTAAACCTTTTTTTGTTTGACAATTTTTCCTGTATCTCTAAAAATGAAGTGGTGGGGGGTATTCAAAGGTTTCCGTAAATAACACCCTGTATCTTCGAAACGCCTGATCCGATTTAAACAAACTCGGGTTAGTTCAAAAGAGCTATTCTTCAGCTACAAATATTATACTATTTGAAGTTTTGTTAGTTTCACATATCACCGCCTGAGGGCCTTTTTCGACATTCCGACAGAAATGGTTCGTTTTCTCAAAAAAATTAAATGCATTGGTTCGATTTGTTTTCATGAAAAAGTAGCTAAATGATGCCTAAACACGTTTGCGAAAACAGCATCTCGATATCTTGAGATATATATATATATATTTTTATATCGTGATGGCCAGCATTTCGAGCATTTACGGCGACATTAAAAGCTTCCTTTTTTAAATCGATCCACCTTAGGGCCACAAATTATATAATAAAAATAATTTCGGAAAAATTAGCTTAAAAAAATAAAATTTTGAGGGTATAAAACTTTCTTTGGCCTAAATTTTAGGTTAGGAACAAGATATCGAGATGCGGTTTTCGCGTGCTTGTTTAGGCATCATTTAGCTACTTTTTCATGAAAAAAAAATCGAACCAATGCATTTAATTTTTTTGAGAAAATTAACCATTTCTGGCGGAATGTCGAAAAAAGCCCTCAAGCGGCGATATGTGAAACTAACAAAACTTCAAATATTATAATATTTGTAGCAGAAGAATAACCCTTTTCAATTAACCGGAGTTTGTTAAAATCGGCTCAGTCGTTTCGAAGATAAAGAGTGTTCTTTACGGAAACCTTTGAATACCCCCCACCACTTCATTTTTAGAGATACGGGAAAAATGGTCAAACAAAAAAGGTTCAGATTATCGTCAACTTCAAAGACCGGACATTTTTTTGTTAGGTTAATATAGCGGAATTCGCAGAAAAATCACTTTTTTAGATTCCAGATTGCAGTTACGCCCCCTAGCGGCTATTGCAGAAACTTAAAAATATTTTCCAGGTTTTTCTCGTGGCCGTTTTAGTAATAAATTTTTTTACCGCAAGCCTCTACGATGGACAGATTCCCAGATACAGTACCTCGCATTCTTATTTGGCCACCCTGTACATTCAAGATGAAGAGGGATACGATAGCATTACTCAAATCTAATTCGTTTTGTCTAAATTGAATTAAACTCAATTAAATACGCAAATACGAGTGTGGTAATGCCAACTTAAACCGTGTTTGAAAAACATTACAAACTAAACGCAACACAGAAAAAATAAAGCTTCAAAGGAAAATAGACATAAACAGAATTAAAATATAAAAATGTTTACCCCAAAATAATCGGCTAAACATTGCAGATCCACTTCTGCTGCAAACTTCACTTTAACTTTATAAATTTTGGCCTGTTCATCGACATTAATTGTAACGTCTGCCGCAATCTCATGTCCGAAGGGTAGAGGAGACGAGCTGTACAAGTTCTTAACCCCGTCGAATGCTGGATAACGATTCGGATAATTGTCCCTACGAAATTGTTCCATAACCGCCCTCATCGACTTCTTAGGTTTGTCCGGCTCGATTGCGACATCGTAGTGAATCGCGGGCTTTAAATGTTTCAAAATTAGAGCCAAGTGATTGGTTTCGATGGTGATCTTTCGTCCCTTGGTACCTCCAGATTTCAGCTGCTTTCTCAGCGGCACGATAAAATCCGTAGGCGAACCCTCTTGACGCGCTTTCGTCTGCTTGCCGGCGTCGCCCGCTTGTGCCGATTTTGGCTGTTGTTTAGGGCCCTTGCCTTGCTGCTTTCCTTTGGGCGCACGATCGGGTTCTGCGGGAAAAGACTCCTGACTTGAAATTGATGTGACCGATTGTGCAGGAGTCAGTTGCTTTGCAGGAGAAGGAAGTCTTGCCTGGGAATCCCATGGACCTCTGGGTTGTTGTGTGGCAGGTGGAACCTGTTGGGGAGGAGGTGCTCCTTGTTGGGCCTGTTGAGGTGGATATCTGGATTGTGGAGGAAACTCACGTTGGTGTTGCTGCCCAACATCTTCTCTACCTCTGCCAGATTGAGACTCTTCTACAGACAGCTTGCCGAATTGTTTTTCAGGGGGGCCTCTACTATCCTTCGTCCACTCTTTATGATCTCTACCAGGTTTATTTTTTTGCTGATCGGCTGCTCTACCTCTACCACCTGAGGCGGCAGCTTGTGGTTGTCGTCCTGAACCATCACCTCGACCTCGACCGCCTGTCGCTGCAGGTTGAGGTTGTCTTTGAGGACCATCACCTTGACCGGCCTGTGGCGGTTGTTGATCTCTCCATTGACCTTGACCGCCTGTCGCCCTAGGTTGAGGTTGCCTTTGAGGACCATCCCCTCGACCGGATTGTGGCGGTTGTTGGTCTCTCCCTCGACCTTGACCGCCTGTCGCCGCAGGTTGAGGTTGTCTTTGAGGACCATCACCTTGACCGGCCTGTGGCGGTTGTTGATCTCTCCATTGACCTTGACCGCCTGTCGCCCTAGGTTGAGGTTGCCTTTGAGGACCATCCCCTCGACCGGCTTGTGGCGGTGGTTGGTCTCTCCATTGACCGCCCTGTGCCCCAGCAGCTGCTGCAGGTTGTGGTTGCCTTTCTGAAGCAGAACCAGTACCTCGACCGGAATGTGATGGCTGCTGTGGCTGTCTCTGTTGACCTCCTTGTGCTCCACCTGCAGGTGGTTGTTGAGATGAAGATGCAGTTGGCTGCTGTGCCTGGTCATCTTTTTTTTCTCCTTGGCCTCCTTTGGAAACTAAGAAAAATTATTACAGCTTTGCACGTCATGATCGTATATGATAGGGATAAGTTCAAGTTTAGCTGCATTCCCGAATCCTGGACAAACTGAACAGACCAATCACAGACAAGAATTGAACTGTCATTTGTCAGTTGTGACGTTTGTACCTACACAGCTGCTGTTGTTTATATTTTGTTTTGTTTGAATTTGTTTTTGCATTATGGATACGAAAATAAGAAATAGGGCAGTGACTGACGTCCAGAAAGAAAAAAATGTTTATTTTGCCTTGTGCATGATTGGTTCTTTATCCACTTGACAAATTAATATTCCACTGACAAAAGCCTCGGAAATTAAAGCTTTTCTCGCGTGGATAATGAACCTTAAGTCGATTTGAGACAATTTTTTTTCGGGGCAAAAAAAAAGGCAGTGTACAACCTTCCTTTTTTCCAAAAATCTACTGCACCAAAATTTCTCGGGAAAACACTTTTTCTTATTAATTTTGGGGCGTAGAATCCAAAACAATTCGTACTTTTTCGATCAGACTTCTCAATCAAAAGTTATAGACTAGAAACCAATTTGAAAAAAATTCAAAGGGCTGTAACTTTTGAACTAGTAGCCCAATCTTGGAACTGTTTGAAATTATGGATTCTACAGGCCACGTTCTATAAGAAAATTTTTTTTCCGGGTCGATCTGAGACAATTTTTTTTTGGGGCAAAAAAAAGGCAGTGTATAACCTTGACTGCACCAAAATTTCTCCGGAAAACACTTGGCACACTTGATAAATAGTGAAATCCGTCTGGGGCAAACAAAACATTTGGTGACTAGTATTCAATTGCGAAGATAAAAATTGCACTAGGGCCGACTGCCCTAATTAAAAATGCCAGTGGAAAAAACTTAATCCTATAAAGAATTGTTGAAATTCGTTGAGGTCTATTTGGTAACATCTGTAATTAAAATCGTAAAGAGGGGCGACTGTAAACGTCAAATTTATAAGGTGTGCCTGCTGGATACTTACATTTCTTTTTCCCCATTTCTCTACTTCTTTCTTGCTCTTGCTCACAATATAGTCGTCACAAAGTTACAACCAATTTACAATTAACAAAGATTTAAATGCAAAATTACCGAATGAAGCAATAATTACACAAAATGATGCAATACTTATAACATCAATCACAAATAAACTAGATGTATCAAATGCCCTCTTGATTATGATCTAAAAACAACATACGAGTCATGAGCAGTGTTGCCAAACATACAACGGGTACGTAAATATATACAGTGCGCTTGTGCTGAAATGTACAACGCGATCAAAAAAAAAGTTGCTGTCTAGCCACCTTGGGAATTTTTGTTTACATGAGCATTCATATTTAACTTGAACTTCCACAGGCGACTCGACGTCAGTCCTTTTTTGATCGCCCGTTACTACACATGAATCCTAACTGTTCTAACTTTCAAATTTATCGACCGATCTTACTGAAATTTTAACAGTAGCACCCTTTACTAAATGCAAGTCGATTCATTAAATTAAACATGTAAACTGATGCGTAAGAAGTAATTTTCTTAGAATAGTAGTCACGGATCAGCGCCCCTGCGTGAATTTGTTAATCAATTTCAGACTTGCACATTGTAACATCTATCAACTGTGCGAAATCAATCAAAAACAGCGTGCAAACTATACCGGGTGGTGACTTGAACAACGAATTTCAATAGTAATTTTGTCATTTCTGATTATTGCCTTCCCTAATTAGTTTAGAGATAAAGGCCTCCCCTCATCGTGTCTTAGACATGATGAATAGGTATAGACGTACATTTTCGATGTATTTATGTCTTCAGGATCGTCTGTCCATCTGTTTCTCAAACAACTAAAACATATGTTTCAAAATTTTGGAAAATTCCAAACGTTTCCTTTTTAAATTGATAATGAAGTACATGATAAAATAATTTCATAATTCTGTTTATCTTCAAATGCATATCACGATGTTATTGTCAACTTAGTAACAGGAGGGGGCGATGTAACTTGTGAACTTTTGTCCTCGTAGAACAGTATCAGTCAGACATTCACAATGGAAATAAACAAAGTGCTGATAACCGACGCCGTTGACCAAGCTTGCGTAAATCTCTTGAAGGAGAATGGTATTGATGTAAGCTGCAGGTATAATTTAACGAAGGAGGAGCTGTTGGAAGAGATTTCGGTAACGGTCTCCCGCGAGCGTAGCCAATTCATCATCGGTTGGTTTTCAGGATTATCATGGATTAATAGTGAGATCGGACACAAAAGTGACCGCAGCGGTTTTGGCGGCGGGTTTGAAGCTGAAGGTGGTGGGTAGAGCTGGTGCAGGTGTTGATAATATTGACGTGCAAGAGGCGACGAAGCGTCGCATTGCTGTGCTCAAGTGAGCCATTTAATTATTGCAGTTCAGAGATCACTAATCTTGTTATAGTACTCCTGGAGGAAATGCGGTCAGCGCCTGCGAGTTGACGTGCACGTTAATTACCACTTTGGCCAGAAACGTTGTGCAAGGGGCTGCGTCGTTGAAAGCGGGCCGCTGGGATCGTAAGCTTTACAGCGGGCACGAAATTTGTGGTAAAGTGTTAGGGATCATCGGTCTGGGTCGTATTGGGCGCGAAGTGGCAATTCGCATGCAAGCTTGGGGAATGAAGGTGAGTGACACTTTCCGATTCCGACTTGTAAGTCAGTTGTATTTTGCAGACTGTCGGCTATGATCCAATAGTGTCCGCCGAGGAAGCCAAAAAGTTTAATGTCCAATTTTTGGAGTTGGAAGAAATATGGCCAATTGTTGATTATATTACGGTCCACACACCCCTTATACCAGAAACGGCAAGTAAGTGCTGTTAGTCTTTGTTGCAAACTTTTAAACACTTATTCTCACGCAGAGATGATCAATTCAAAGGTATTGGCCAAATGCAAAAAAGGAGTCAAGATAATAAATGTCGCCAGAGGAGGTATAGTCGATGAAGAAGCACTCTTGAAAGCGATAGAAGATGGAAGGTGCGGCGGAGCGGGTATAGACGTATTTGAGCAAGAACCCCCTACGAGCCCCGTCACTTTGAAACTCATTCAAAATCCCAAAGTGGTGGCAACACCCCATTTGGGAGCGAGCACGTCCGAAGCCCAAGTTCGGGTTGCTGTCGAAGTCGCCGAACAATTTATTGCTTTGGCTAAACGAAACCCCAAATACACATCAACGGCTGGAGTTCTAAATCATTCTGTACTTCATTAAATAAATGTTTGTAACCGCAACGCAGATTAAAGTTTCAGACAGTTATAGTATCGGATGCATTCTTTTTCTACCATTAGCACACAACACTAAAAAACCGTTGATATCTCTAAAAAATAATTAAGTGGGTTCGTAAGGAGGTCATGTTCAGTTTTTTTTACCATATTTGAAGTACTGAAAGAATAAAAAATGTTGAATTTCAAGAGCAAAATTTAAAAAAACCTGAAAAAGGATTTGAAGCATTCGGAGATATTGGCAATCGTCTCTTATGCCCTCTGGGGTAGGGTTAAATCTTCCCCGATCCTACACGGGTATCTAACCGCGAAAAAGATAAAATTCCAAACTAATGATACATAAAAGTGAGTTATCTTAGGGACATCAGACGGACTTAAGAATTCGATTGATTAAAATTCAACTGAAAAATGGCGGCCGACGCTCGTGTGAATATACGAATCGCCATCGTATCGTTCAAAAATTCCATTTCTATTCTATTCTATCACAGACGTTATTCTATAGTCTCTCCCTGTACACATTTCATAACCTCAAATTTTGTAGTTATTTGTCGCAGTTACATAAAACGATAACAAAAATGCCAAAAGGTGCAGATATTCGCGATATCTCACCGCTTTTACAGAAACTTCGAAATTTCCTACTAGGCCGTGAACTCAGGATGGGTCTACGTTTTCCTCAGGAGGTAGCTACACGTTCACCGGACCCTCCAAACTTACCCGACGGTCCTTCTCACCTTCTAAACAAAAATTATTACTACTCGAGGGATGCCCGTCGAGAAGTACAACCTCCACCCGTGGTGGCACCACAATCGCTACTGGCAGCGGAGGGACAAACGGAGGCAGAAAATCGTAACAAGCGTGTTACTCCCGGACCTGTTCATCGTTGGGATTAGAATTTTGGGGGGCAATATGTAGTGTATATAAAGTAGTGTTATTGCAAATTTAATTGTTAAATATACCTTAAAATCTGTGTGGTTTGTGTACTGTGCACAATTTCATTATACGCTCGTTTTTCCCGAAATTATGGTTTGTGCGCTTATTTAAAAAAGGACCTTTTTAATAGAGGTATAGGAAGGGTTACCATATCTTTTAGGAACCGATAATTATATCACTTTCGATTCCCAAAACGTATTAAGACATTCAATGTCAAAACGCACTATTTCAACTTCACAAAAGTGTGAAATTGTCATACACCGAAATAAGAATAATTTTCTTAACATCTACCCTTTGATCTCAACCGCATTGAGCAACAAAATTATCAAATAAATAAAAGAAAAGTCCTAATTAGAGGTTTATTAGTTTTTATACGGGCTACCTCTCACATGAGGGTCCCCCATATCTCACGCGGTGCCATTTGTTTGGTCCATTTTCGTATTTTGCCAAAAAAAAGGAACAAATACAGGATATGTAGTTACACAGGACGCGATAGTCAATATGGTGACAGTCCCACACATTATGGCAATCATAGGCAACTATATACAGGGTGGTGACTTGCGTAACGCATCATAGGGATTTCAATGTAAAATTCATAACATGCGATTATTGGCTCCCCAAATTATTTTAGAGCAAAAACGTATTAAGGTTTTTTGTAGGAAAAAATTTTTTACGCCAATCAACCGTATTAGTTTTCAATTTTTTGAATACTAAAGACGGAAAATTGGAAAAATAAACCCCCATCTTTTTCAATAATCTGTGATGCCATGGAATTTTACAATAAAATAACTACGCCAATATCCGTCATGCCATGGAATGTCTGCTATGAAACAAATGAAATTCTATCAAAATAGTATATTGAAAGACAAGTGTTACAATGCGACCTATTGTAATACGACTACCTTGTGGCACGAGTGGCGACGCGAAGCGTAGCCACGAGTGTCCGCAAGATAGGAGTATTACAATAAAGCATTGTAACACGCGTTTTTCATACTATTTTTTCTATTTCGGTGCTTTAATTTAATTAAAAAATCATTATCAGAAACTATAGGGAACATTAGAACTAACATGTTTTATGTTGGGAACACTTTTTATGCCGTTAAGTTTTAGGTTGGCAGCGTAGTAAGACTGACATTTTGAAGTTCAAACATGGAAGTACCTACTTGTACCATTGACTTGTACTAACTAGTAACTGCCAACTTAAGAGATGAGTTACCAAAAAAAACGACTATAATCACTGTCTTTGTACAACTGTTTTCGGCCTAAAACAGTTGTACAAAATCATCATTGTGACACCGAAATAGAAAAAGTATTTTATTTAGAACAGCGAATTCAACATAAAGAAAGACCAAATTACTAAAAACGGTTTCCTAATATAACAATTTACAATAAATGTTCGAATAAGTCACCATTAACTGCAAGACAGTAACCAAGTCGATCATAAAATCCATTTCGAACTGCTGCTAATTGACAACTGGATATCTTTTTGTTTTAGAAAATTCCATGGCATCGCAGATTATTGAAAAAGATGGGGGTTTATTTTTCCAATTTTCAGTCTTTATTATGCAAAAAATTGAAAACTAATACGGTTTATTGGAGTAAAAAAATTTTTCTACAAAAAACTTTAATACATTTTTGCTCTAAAATAATTTGGGGAGCCAATAATCGCATGTTATCAATTTTACATTGAAATCCCTATGATGCGTTACGCAAGTCACCACCCTGTATACTATAGGTACTGTGTTCAAGCTTTGTTGATAACAGAGTATTTAGGTCGGTGATTGGTTTGACAAAGTCTCCATGAACCTCTAATAACTTTCTAGAAGCCAAGGCAAATTTTACTGAGGTAGATGACTACCAATTTGAATTTGAGGGGTGTGATTTCTCTGCATGTTTTTGTTTTGGTCTCTTCATGGCATACTATGTAGGTATAAGATGTCGAGAAATAAAGACTGTTATTATTAATTTATTAGTCTTTGAGAGTATCAAAAGCTCTTCTAGTCCTTTAAATGCTAAAGAGTCGTTCAAGAGGAATCTTCTTGCGTTTTTAAGAGTCTTTAAGGGCTTTTAAAAGATCTATTGGATTTTGATTCAACGATTTCCGCAGCCCTTTAATGGTTTTTAGAGCTCTTTGTTAGACCCATTGAAAACTTTTGATACCACTTATCAACTTTTAGTAATCTCAAGAATATTTAATATTAGGAGTGCTTTTAAAACCCTTCATAAGTTATAAGGGCCTCCAGGTATATTTAAATTTGAGGGCCTTTTAGAGTTACAATTCCTGAAAGCCTCCCAAGACTCTAAAAGAGTTTCTTAGTTTGGTTTGCATTATCTTTCCACCCTAAACAGATGACTTTTTTGTATAAAGAAATAAACATTTTATTTACGGGATGTTGCCAATAAGAGCAACTAACCGAGCCGTTAAATTTGAATTTTAAAATCTGAATATAAAATAAAATCCTGCACATTATATTTATTTGAATCGAATTCAAGTTAATCTTAATCCTACGTTGAACTGGGCGGAGTTTGAATCGGTAAATCGTGGACTTTCGGTCTTAAACCCTTTCTACTGTATCCGAAAGCCGCCGTAATTATGTGGGTGGCAGCGGACACAGTCAAGGCAACATCGTGACCCGTGCCTATGCTCGGATTGACTTCCACCAAATCGATCGCGTTCAGTCGACCCGTCTTGTGCACAATTTCCATCAGATGAATTCCCTCGCGTAAAGTCAGACCGCCTCGTACTGCAATCGGATTAACACAAACCGACATTTCGCAATTTACGGACTTACCCGGCGTTCCGGTACTGGGAGCTTCCAAAGAATCGATGGAATCGATATCGAAACTGACGTGCAACGATTTCGTATGCGTCGGATCAATTCTATCTAGCGCCATATGGACGCACTGGTGAATGCCGTACTTCTCGATTTCTTCCATTCCGAAAGCGGTTATGCCCAAATTGTCGATTAGTAATCTTTCAAAACTGTCGACGGATCGTAAACCAATATATCCGATGTTTCGTATCGACATAACGGGTTTCTGCCAGTCCATACCGGGCAGATACGGCCAGTAGTCCGACAGTTCCTTCGCTAGTAAAGCTACGGGCATGCCGTGCAAATTACCCGAGTCTGAAGTTAAGTTTGTATTTATATCGGCATGTGCATCGATCCAAAGGACTGCAACGTCCGATTTCGCTTGTAAGTGGCCATCGACTGTGGCCAGAGCTAAAAGAGGCAGTCAGAGGTATTTGCCACTAAAGCTTAGAGAAGCCACATATGGATTTTTTGCATTCAGACTACTAATTTGAGTTAGAAGTTTAAATTCCAAATTCAGACACTAAAAGTCACCATGTTCCAGAATTCAAGAACAATCGACAATAGATTCTTTGGAAAGCCTTCTTTGCGGTTTCCAAAGAATTCTATTGTTAACATCCTTTTTGCACTCCTTCGTTCTAAATCGCGTTTTCCCAATAAAATATGAAAGTCAGGAACGACAATTTTACAATTGACTATCTACTTTGACGCACTAGTGCCTAAAAATTCAATGAAATTATCTATTTAGAGCGGATCATAAATTAAGTACCTAGTATGATGGAAGAGTAAAAAAGAAAATATAAAAAATCTGCGCCTGTAGGATAACTCTCACTTATCCCGGTCATTTTAAGTGGGATAAGAACTTAATTACCACACTCAGTGGGATAAGAACTTCATTACCACACTCAGTGGGATAAGCCCTTGTCAAAACAATGTATGATCAAAAATCAACTATCAAGATTATATATTGTAAACATTAACGTCTGATGGAAGAGTTCCAGACTCACTCATGACATAAGCAAAGAAATCAGAAGCAAAATTTTTGACGTACAAATTTTCTTGACGTTAGGATTTTCTTGTTTCTATGGCGTCGAAAACTGCTAACTATGCTACTTCGATTGAAATTTAAAAAAATGCATCAAATTTATTTTTCGTTTTTAGCAGTAGAAGAACAGTCGCAGATAAAAAGTTGTATTTAATACTTGGGCTAACGGCCATTAACATACTCATGCTCTTACAATAGCTCGGGCTAACGCCCTCGTATGCGCAATTGTCGCATTCGTAAGTTAATGAGGCCGTTATCCCACCACTGATTAAATAAATAACTATTACCTGTAGTACAGGGGCAAAAATAAGCTTAAACCAGAAGTTTTGAACAATAAATTGACATTTTAAATTTCTAGATTTCTACTTTATCGGCATAGAGGACTTGATTTTTTCAAAAGAATTATAATGTCGCAAAAATCTCGCGAAAAGGATTTGAATTATTTAACTAATCCGTGCAAAAAATAGAATACATTACTGCAAAATAACTGTTCCCGCACTAATAATGCAAATAACTATTTCGGAACAACTTTTCAAGAAAAAATAAGGTTCCAAAGTTCATGAAAAGCAACACATTAGCGCTTCTGAATGGTCTGGACATGTACCTATAGTCTGAATTTAGTTATTAAATCTGACGAATTCACAATGTGGCCCTTCTATGCCTTTATAGTTCGCTTACACGAGCAAAAGTACCGATTGAATGATCACCGCCGAGCGTCAGGCAAATTCTGCCATCATTCAACACCCGAGTGACCTGCTTTGAAAGCACCTTCGTGCACGCTACCATATGCTCGTACATTAGCATATTGGGAACGCTATTCGAAATATCGTGATCAATCGAGTATACAATATCGCCGTAATCCTTTACATCGATTTTATCATCTGCAAAAGTAGATTCATTACACGATCGACAAATGAAGATACTTACGGATTTTCTGCAGAGATTTAATTAGTCCGGCGTCCCTCAAGAACTTCGGTGCGTTACCGACTCCCACCTTGCGTTGCCCATTCTCGAACGGCACACCGATCACGCCGATTTCGGTTTTCAAGCTTGCATTTCGAACTTGTCTCAGTAATCGTACACTTACTCTGTTAAACATGTTTTTTTATCAAACGAAAATATTAAAATAAACGTGCGCATAGTATCACATTGCACAATTAATGTGATATATATTGAACTTGACCCCGCAAATGTCCCAAATTCGATAAGGATTGGTGAGCACAGATGAAGTTTCATCATTGTTGACATGTTAAAAATGACAAGGATGCCAGTGAAATAAATATAATCTGGTTTGTCTTTTGTTTTCTGCTGCAACTTTGATCATAAATCTTATGTTACATTTAGCAAATATCGGGCGATCAAAAATGATTGGCTGTCGAGTCGCCTTAGGAAGTTCAAGTTAAATAGGATTTCCCATGTAAACAAAAATTCCAAAGGCGACTAGACAGCCAATCATTTTTGATCGCATTGTAGACAATGTGCATAGTAAAAAGAAAAAGACCAAGATGGAAGAAATACATGCAAAATCTGTACAAAGCCACCAGAAAGTCATGTGGTAGGGGTATCACTACGATCTTGGTCGCAGACAGATGTATATCAGTGGATATTTTGAAACATTTGCAAAAACAGATGGCATGGCACTAAGAAACGTAGAGAGAACCTGTTCGTGCATGCTGCAAAGATACTGTCAAGTGTTAAATCAGAAATTAATAAAAAAAAATGGAAGAACGAATATGTGGAGAAGAGTTTGGTGTTAGAAAAGAGATGCAATTAGGTTTTGACAGAACAATTGAAGGGAGATGCTTGAAGAAAGCAAAAAGTTTGTGTGTTTTGTTGACGTGAAGAAATCTTTATACGAGTCACAAGAAATAGTGTTGAGGATTAGGGAGAGAATAACAGATTGGTTTGGTATCGGGGTGTTCTCCAACTCTTCCAATGTATATGCTGAGGAAATGGCAAAAGGGAAGTTAGAATGAAAATCTCGTGTAGTGCAGTGGTACCAAGGGTCCCTCTGGTTCGCGCTTGCATATTTGTAAATGTACAGTGGGTTAAGTTGGTAGCCTTGACTGAAACTCCGCCCACCTAAAAATAAATGCCAAAAATAAATAAATTAAAATGGGACAGTGTTTCAAGGAAGATTACGGAATTTAGGTTGCTGACAACATTATCCTCCTTGCGGGAAAATGTACAGGAACTGAAAGAAATGTTTACAACAATTTGAGAAGATGAAAAAGTAAATACAGCTCGATGATAAATTCAGAGTTAAAAAAAATCTGTAGAGCGGTTTTTCATCATTCATTAGTTATATGCTATTTAAAATTTATTAATGTTATACATTATATACAACTTGCTTTTTACAGATAAATATTTTCCTAAAATCTATAATACATTGCTTATGTTTTATACAGAATACAGTTTTAAAATCTAATTAACAAATTAACAAATATATTAATTGGAGGTGTGTTCACATTTGCGACTTTGTGTGGTTTTCACGGTCAAAATTCTCCCCGCGAATTTTCGAATTGTCATATTTACACATAATAACGCATGTAATTGTTAGTTACGTAGCTAATAAATGAAAAACACCAATTTATCACCGAAGCTCTAAGTTACATCAAATCACGTGTAGATATTCGGAGTTCGATTAGGATGAAAATGCGCGAGGAGAATTCCCATCGAGAGATATAAACACAAACAGCCTCTAGATTGAAGTATCTCAGAAATTGACAACTGATATGGCGAGTTTGCTACTAGCCTAATTGACAGAGAGTAACTACAGCCAATCATAAACTGCATAGTATGTTACAATCATGTCGAATCGTCATCCTCGGCAGCTGCTTACTAAAGAAAACATAGTAAGGCGAACAACATAGAATGACCGCAACATGTTGATAATATACGACAAACTAACACCGCTGCCATTCACTTTGTAACAATGATGATAATACAAGACGCAATAAATAATACCTTTATAACGGCTAATTTGACACAATAATACAAAAATGTATATAAAACGACTAGTTTCTAAAATACAGGATGTCTCCATTCGACTGTAGGTACGGGAAATTTTAAAATTAAGGCCCGCCAAAACGTTAAGATATGTATCGATCGGAGAAGTGTTGAAGTTATAATAAAAGAAATACGCAAGGACATCCCATATTTATCCCTTAAGCACACGCACGCACGATCTATTACTATTACGTTATTAATAATAAGTGAAAGGCAGCCTTTTTACTCGCTATAAAGCTTTGAAACGGTTGTGCGGCACATTATTCAATATTATATCACAAAGCATTTGTTACAACAGCACCTTACGTTTAACATTAACAATTCATAAACTTCTCAGTCAGTCCTAACAATTAACAAAAAGAATCCAGAGTGCCATTTACAACAAATGCTCCTTTTATAAAAATATAAAGATTATTCACAGATATTTTAAACAAAGGCCCAGCATTCTAAAGTTTTCACTACGAAATCTACCTTAGGTGTTAACGGATCGTTGCCGTACGTATTACAGGATTCCGATCTACCCTGATACAAATCTCCGTCTAACCACAGTCCGAATTTACCGTCGCCGGCGCCGATGCTGAGACTCTCATTGTTACCTTTGATAAAGTACAAATTCTCGCCCGTCCAGTTATACACTTGAAAGTGCGGACTAAACCTGAAGAGCGACGACTCGCCTGTTCCATAGAAGTGATCGGAAACTTGCAGTGCGCAAGATGTTAGAGCACCAAACACCTGTTTAATCAAGAATTAGAGAGAGTACATTTTTCCTCTATTAATCTCGTTTATTTCGTTAATTTTCACAGGGTGTAACAATCTTGGGGTAGGTAGTTCCTTATTGCTAAAAAAATTAGAAAAAAACACACACATGCGCCCCTCTTCAGAAGATATCCAGGTTTGAGACTGGAACAAGTAAAAAAGTTCTCGCCCTAAGGCGAGTGACTTTAGCGCATTTTCCATGCATTGGCCAGTACTTCCCAAAAGGCCATAGCTATGTGCGGTATGTTTTTCTTTACGAAAAGTATCTACGGTTAAAATTTCAAAGAAATGTCTCCATAAATAACAAAAGTTGGCATTGCGCATGCGGACATCGGATTTTTGCGATAGTTACCTTTACTAGCAGCACCTGTGACTAAAATTTCAAAGACTGCACAGAATGCGCATGCGCACATCCAATGTTTACAATATGAGATATGTTTGCCTGCATGCGCAGATGAATCGTCACGATTTTTCTTGGGCTCAGGTGCCATTTAATTAAAAAAGAACGAAATAAATATATTGAAAAGTGTAGTAGCTAAGGCCTCGGACGGACAGAGAAAATGATTGCAACAGCACACCCAACTTCGTTGGAAGATGCGCTAAAAATTTCAGTCTCCTGACAGTTACGGTTCTTGAGAAAGATAACCTCAACTTTCACGTAGGTCTGATGTAGAACCACAAGTGGCAGGTGGCCCAAACAAATATAAAAGAGTTGAGAATTTTTGTTTATTTCTCCTTAAGGGTCCAAAATGGCTCACAGTTTAAACCAAACTATAGTTTTGGATTCTACGCACCCGATTTAGTAAAGAAAAGTAAAATTTTGTGTTTCCCAATATAAGGTAATGAGGACCTGGGTGACTCAGAAAAAAATGAAAATTTTTTCACAATCGCGCAAAAGCCGCATCCATACTAAATCGCACTACACGCTCTAATCCTTCATTTTTGGATTCTACGTACCCCATTAATAATAATAATAATCTCTTTCCTGATAGCGTTGACTATTGTGGCCATCAATAGCTATGTTGGTAAGTATGAATTACATACTATCCCTAGATTTCCAATGTACGTGTGTGATTGTTATTTATTTATTTATTTTTTATTCTTTTTTTAGAACCCTACATAACTTCACCAGACACAGACACTAATCGTTACTTGATTTTAATCCGTGCGATTAGTTAACCAGGCTAGACCTGAGTTCTCACAAGAAACACCGACCATAATAATAATAAATCGTCTTTATTGAAGACGATTTATTATTATTATTATTATTATTAACGGGGTACGTAGAGTCCAAAAATGATTCTACGTACCCCATTAATAATAATAATAAATCGTTAATTGAATAGTTTCACTGTGCTTGTTTGGCTTCGTCCCCTCAATCACCCAAATATTGCTTTACGTACTTATGTCGGAAAATTAACGAAATAAACTGTGGCGAGATAGGATAGAGCAAAAATTGTACGTTTCATTATCATGGCGCATATACAGGGTGGTGACTTGCGTAACGCATCATAGGGATTTCAATGTAAAATTCATATAATGCGATTATTGGCTCCCCAAATTATTTTAGAGCAAAAATATACAGGGTGAGTTTTTTTTCACTTTAAGCATTAGGATCTCGGAAACCGTAAGACATAAAGATTTGGTTAAATGAGGAAAGAGTTGTAGCTTTAAGAGCTTATTCAAGATATGCTTTTGTTTTTTTTTTTAAATTCACAGTTTACTAGATATGAGCGAAAAACAGATTTAGTGATTTTTCATTCAACTGTTGTGGAATCGTTAATTAATATCAAATACAGAAATATGCAAAGAACAAAAATTGTAGATTTTTTTCCACTTAATAAGATACGTTTATTAATATTTAATAATAATAATGAGAAATGTCTTTATTGTCAACCGAACAAACAGCAAATAAAAAACATTTCTTCTTCTTCTTTTATAATTTTCGAGTTATAACGCAAACTTGCATTTTTTTAAATGGTAATCATAGTTGGCTGTGACATTTTTAAAAAGTGCATTTTTTCTGTTTACAATGATAAGATTCATTGTAATGACTTTGACAAATAAACATGGTACAGAACTGTTTGTATTATTAAGAGTAGTAAAAACAGATTTTGCCATGCGAAACATTTTTGTTCCCTTAATTACTGTCTATTATAATATTTAACTTGCAGTTAGATGTGCGGCGGGGCACCGTTGTGTTGAAATCAGCGTAAATTACGTCGTGTTTCCAAATCTAACCCATCCTACATATCTTGAAATTCATTTGGTAGAAAATGAAGATAAAATTGGCCTGTCCAATTTTCGTCGTAAATGAAAGGTACCTATTTCACTAGATATTGTTTTCCATGGCCAACTCTGTTTACTTATCTCTCAATAGTACGAAAATAACTGCAGGGCGTTTATTTATTAAAGTACATTGAGCAAGCCATATATCGTTATAAAGAGAAAAATTTGTCCTTTTTAAAAATGTCAAAGCCAACTATGACTACCATTTAAAAAAATTAAAGTTTGTATTATAACTCAAAAATTGTAAGATCTAAAAATAAATTAGTATGTTCATCATGTTAAGCATTAAAATGTCTATAACTTTTATTCGTGTCATTTCGTTGTATTTCTAATAATAACGATTCTACAACAGTTAATTGAAAAATCACTAAATCTGTTTTTCGCTCATATCTAGTGAACTGTGGATTTTTTTCAAAAAACAAAAGCATATCTTAAATAAGCTCTTAAAACGACAACTCTTTCCTCATTTAACCGAATCCGTATGTCTTATGGTTTCCGAGATCCCAATGCTTAAAATGAAAAAAAAACACCCTGTATTAGTTTTCAATTGTTTTCATATAAAGATGGAAATCTTTCTGTTTTAGAAAATTCCATGGCATCACAGATTATTGAAAAAGATACAGATTTTATTTTTCCAATTTTCAGTCTTTATATGAAAACAATTGAAAATTAATACGGTTGATGCATGTTACGCAAGTCGCCACCCTGTAAAGCAGACGGACAGCCCTACTCACGTTATTGTCAGTGTCTTCTATGACTAATAAAATTGGCGATTCCAATTTGTTCATCTTCCGGTACATGGAATTGAGACTGAAACCGTGCTGACTAGTGCTGAAGACGAGCGACCACAAGTAGCCCTCGGCGCGAGCCGGTAAATGCCGACATAACGATTCACGATGTAAGTCGGTCAGAATTTCCGTGTTGCCGACTAGTTCGGGTGGTGCAATATCGATGTCCAGAGAAGGCGCCACTGACGAGTACAGCGCTTGTCGCAGCTCCTCTGACATGGGCAGCACCTAAGAACGACAATGACACAATTAACGCTAGCAAAGACATATTTTAACCGTTGTAGTAGTGCACATTTACTTTGTAGTCGTTCCGGTATAACTTGTGACAGTCCACTGTTTAATCCGTTCTAACATGCACATGTTGATTGTGTCGTATCATTTTGTTAACTGAAATATTTGGAAAAGATTGACAAATGCGGCAGTATAATTTTGGGCGATTTTAATGCCGGTATGTGACGGATCAAGGCAATAACAATCAATTATCTTGTTTGCATACAGACACCATAATTACATTGTAGTTTACAGTCGCAATTACTTACGGTGAGTAATCAGAATTTCATTACGACAAATGACATTCATCAGCTTATTGTTTATGAGAGATTGGGTCATGTAAGTATCACTTACTACTCATTATATTTATACATTGATTAATTAAACAAATATTCTCAGTTTCAATGCCGTAGTGAAAGAACTGGTGTATCAACATAATGTTTGAAAATTGTGAGTTGTAAAAGAATAGAGCACAAAATTATAAAAGTGTTGGAGGGCCATACCCATGTAAGTTACTGCAACAGTCAATCCTCAAAATGACCTATAATGCGTTAGCTAGAAGGCTATGGAAACCACTTAAGTGAACATTAAAAGACCTAAAGTTAAATCTTAAAAATCAATGGAAAGCTTTGGGTTTTGGTGATTTCAGTACACTACTTCAAAGCTTAGGAGGTTCAGAGCAATACTAAAAGGCACTTCCATAACGTTCCAAATGCTACAGAGTTTTCCATGGTCCTTCCAGAATGTAATTTATGCACTTTCACTCAATTAATTATCATTACTCAAATAATTACACTGGTTACATTTTCAATTTAAGAAATAAGATTTTAAAAAACCAGTTGCCAAATTCTTGACAGAACAGCTTCCTAGCTCGAAGCAAATATTTAACAAAAAAAACTTGTTGTTCTTAAGTTGAGTAGGATACCATGGCTATCTTTGTTATTATTATATTTACAGATTCGGTGAAATTGTCAAAGTTGTTTTGTTTTTGACGTTAATGGATATTCAGATGCGACATTTTGAAAAAAATAAATCGTTTCTGGGATAATTCGAAAAAGTGACAATCGCCAAGTTTTAAATAAAATTTGCAAAATTCGATGGAATAAATTCAATAGGTTTAGAAAAAAATTTTTCGAGATATTGACTTCCTTATTTCAAATGATCGCCATATTGGATGTTTACGTCACTGGATAGGGAAAAAATTACAAAACCAGTGATACCAAACACTTAGTATTTCATTTGGGAATCAATCTTACGCCTCGAAGTTTACAATGTATTTCTTATGGCAATAATTCCATGGCTGACTGTGATTGAAACTAAATTCGTTCATTTATTGTTTTGCATACTCAACATCGACACGGCCATAAGAAATACATTGTGAACTTCGAGGAAAAAATACAAGGTTGAAATGAAATCCTAAGTGATTAGTATCACTGGTTTTGTAATTTTTTCCTCTAACGAGTAACATAAAAATCCAATATGGCGGCCATTTAAAACAGTTGATGTCAATATAATGTCAAATAATAATAACAAAGATAGCTCGTTAACAGAAGTTCATTTTTTACTGCGAAACAAAATTATTGAGGAAATCAGAAGGCTATATTTGCACTTTTTGTAAACACCACCTTAAGAAACAGTCATAGGTCTCGTTTCTTTTTCAAATGAGATTATAAATAAAACCCAAATTAATATCACTAAACGTTTGTGCACCTCACAAATATATGAAAATGAATTAGTGTCACAACACAAACACTACAGGAATTGATTAAAAAAGTTGCAAAATCGAGAAATTTACTCGAATCCACCCCCATTAACTAGCAATATGGTCTGATATGAATTATAAAATAGAATATGCCACTAAGCCAAACAATCACACCCTCTGAACCTTGCACCGCTTGCCCTGAACATTACCATTTTTCCAGATGCATTAAAAACCTATTCACACACTTGTAAATTAGCAATTGAAAACAAAACTTTCTACACAATAAATGTGCAAAACGAGTGCAGTTGTTTGAGCAGATATTATTTAAAAAAACTTGCACCGCTTAGAGCTATTGTAAACCTTGAAATAACTCGATCACATATTTCAATAATAAAATGCAAATATCGTTTGATAAAGTTTATAAAAAGAATATAACAAATAGAGTCATTACAAAACCTGTTGTTAAAACTGGAAATAGAAATTTCTAATTGCCACCTTGCTACGAACTATGTCATAACTTCCATGAAAGTTCAATTGCCTTAAAATTGCATACATTATTATTACGTTTACTCATGCCTTAATGTATGCAAGCGGGAATATTGAATAATATTATGAACAATATTTGAGATGTTGTATGAAATCTTATTTTTGCTCCCAGCTAAAATTTCCGGAGAGAGATTAGTCCCTTAAATTTTCTTAAAATGTTAAAGAGCATATGGTTCGAATGATATTCATTTGCAGAGTCGGTCAAAGTAATTTTGCAATTGGCCCATGCTAAACGTCCCCCTCACCTTATCCAAATATAGAATATGAACAAAATTATGTCGTTATTTTTGAGCGCACTCAAAAAGAAACAAAAATTTCTTGTGATATGGCCATGTCTACCTGGTTTTGGCCTCTAGTCCAGGCTCTATAATATTTTTGTATGAAAAAAATTAGTTACCGGGCGAAACCGGGTTTTTCAGGCAGGTGGAATGAATAGAATTTGGGAAAAAATAATTAAAACAGCTGACTTTTTCCCTCGGGTGAAATCACGGGGGTTGAAAGGGGTGGAAAGTGGTATTTTGCAAATTGTGGTAAAACTATTGATTTTAGACGAAAATGGTACAAGTTATAGAGATTAAAAAATGAGCAACTTTGTTTTGTTTGCAACTCGAATTTTTGCTATGGGAATAATATTTTTTTATTTTTGTTGTTGTTTTGGACGATGAAAAAAAAAAAGATTTTTCATCCCCTTGAAAAAGAGGTGGTTTTTTCAGAAATCGTGAGATCTTGGAAACGGTTCAACTTTATGGGCCCAAACAATTATCTTCTGTTTTATCATAAAACAGGCTATGTTACCTTCAATTTTCAAATCCCTACGACATTTTTTTGCAAAAATAAGAATAAAAAACGGTTTTTCTAGGAAAATTGGAAGTTATGTGAAAATAGTGCAGATACAAAAGTTGCTCATTTTTTTAATCTCTATAACTTTTAGATTTAACATTTTCGTCTAAAATCAATAGTTTTGCCACAATTTGCAAAATACCACATTCCACCCCTTTCACCCCCCGTGATTTCACCCGCGGAAAAAATCAGCTGTTTTAATTATTTTTTCAATTCATTCATTTCACCTGC